CAGAGAAAGGCCACATGAGCACACAGCAAGAAGGCAGTCATCTGCAGCCAGGAGGAGAGGACTCACCAGAAACGGAATTTTCTGGTACCTTGATCTTGGGCTTCCAGCCTCCAGAACAGTGAGAGGCTAAATTTCTGTTGTTTAAGCCACTGTTGTTTATGGATTTTTAAAATGGCAGCTCTAGCAGACTAATCTGCTCCCTGTGTTTATTTATTTACCTTCTGAGGCTTCCCACCATCTCACATAGTATGTATTGTACTAATTTATCTCGTTTGTTTTCTTCATCCGCTATTGTATGGAGTCTGTGAGGACAGATATTTCTGTTTCTTTTGTCTGCTATTTCATCAGTGCACAGAAGAATGCCTGGAGTATATTTGTTGAATGAACAAATGGATTCATGTCTGTAGCTTCAACTGTGGTCAGTATCTTATTGATATGACATATTAAGGACCATCTACATAATTTGTGGGGACCTGGTGCAAAATAAAAATGTGGGAGTCCTTTGTTCAAAAACTTCAAGTGGTAACAACAAAGTGTGAAATCAAACATGGCACCCTGCTAGGATAAGACCCTTTGTGACTGTGCAGGTCACAAGCCCATGGAGCTAGCTATGTATGTGATCCTCAGATATCTCTGGCTTGGGCCACTCCTTTGAACTTTAGTCCTGTACATGCAGCTGACAGTCTCCTTTGTTTGGCTATCTGAAAGCATCTCTAGCTGATGTTCCAAATGGAGTTGCTGTTTTTGGCTCTCACCTAGTGTCTCTTCCTTAGCTGGACAGCCACCACCCACCTAGTCATGCCACCCGGAGTTCTGTACACCAGCATTATAACTTCTTCATCCACATGTTTCTTTCTGTGCATTTAAATATCTCTTGATCATATCTATTTTCCCAGCTCTACTAAAACCACCTGAGTCTAAGTTATCCTAATTTCTCATCTGAACCACTCTTGATTTCTCCCCAAAAATCTTGTGAACCCCTTCACCCTTTACACAATAGCCACAGCCAACTCTTTTAAATGCCAGCATGATCATCTCACTGTCCTGCTTGGGCACCTCGCATGGCTTCCTACCACTCTTACAACCGATGAAGATTCACGCATGGCTCATGAGGCCCTGTCTGGATAGGTCGTGCTCTCCTTCCCAGTTGCACCTGTGTTACCCATCCCCACCCATCTGTGCTCCAGCCACTCTGGTTTTCCATCATGGTCTGCTCCCCACTTTCAGTTGGAAAGGCAGTTATTCTTTATTCCATTTTACAGATAAGGACACTGAGCTCCAAAGTGACAAAAGGACTTACCCCAGGGCACACTACCAGTAAGAGGCAGAGTGTGTATTGGAATCTTTGTTGAATGAATGCACACATGCATGCAAGAATGAACAAATGAATGAAGCAGTAAACAAAGGCCCTAGGTCAGGAGTGCATAGGTGGCTCAGTGGAGATGGTCACTCGTTAAGCCCTGCCAGGGCTCTCTTTGGCAGTGTGTCCCTAACTATGTGTGAGGAGGTGCTGTCTTGCTTTCATGGTGTAAATATCATACCTTGGTGGGGAAACTGCAGCAGAGAGGCCCCAGTGCATCTGTCACAGCCTGTGCAACACCGCCAGAGTGAAAGCAACAAGCTCAACGAACTGAAAACTTGCCTGTACCACCGGTGTGCGAGCAGGAGTGAGTGTGAATGAGGTAGTTTCTGTTCCTTTTCTTTTCAGTCAGGAGCTGAGAGAGGTGTATGATTCTGAAGGTGGCTATGAGCCGTTTGCTCTTTTATAGTGCCAGGCAGAGTCAGGACTGGGATGTGAATCTGTTCCCCCAATCCCAGGCCACTGGAGTGCGGCTGGGAGACAGAAGTGCCCAGCTCTTAGCTCACAGTCAGTGGGGTGGAGTGGGGGACCTTCTCTGAGAGCCCACACTTCTATCAGTGGGAAGTTTTGGATTTGTTCTGAGGGACAGAAGCAGACATTCCTTCCTATGTGGGGTTTCTATGCAAAGTTTAGGGGCAAAGCTGGGTATTTAGAATAATGGCTGCCTTTTCTCCTTTTCTTTTCTTCTTTTTTTTTTTTTTTTGAGATGGAGTGTCGCTCTGTTGTCCAGGCTGGAGTGCTGTGGCATGATCTTGGCTCACTGCAACCTCTGCTTCAACCTCCTGAGTGGCTGATTACAGGTGCGCACCACCATGTCCAGCTAATTTTTGTACTTTTTGGTAGAGATTCACCATGTTGGTCAGGCTGTTCTCAAACTCCTGACCTCATAATCCACCCACCTCGGCCTCTCAAAGTGCTGAGATTACAGGTGTGAGCCACCACGCCTGGCCATGGCTGCCTTTTCAAATGAAAACTCTCTGAACATTTGTTTCACATGTATGTAGAACCGTGGCTAAGACTGTAGTTACAAGGGGGATGTGAGGAAGCTGCTGATGGCAGTGCTCTGCCTCTCAGTCCCTTGGGTCTCAGGCAGCCCACTTACCACAACAGAACTCCACGATACTTAGGAGCCACTCACAAGCCCCATCCTAGAAGTTAACGTCTGTACTGTTAAAGCATGCCCGCTAGGGGGCTAACTGGAGAACCCAGCAGGCCTCTCAACCAGCGGTGTGGTCTCCTGGGAAGAGTTTTGAAAAATAAGGGATCTCTCAGTGAGGTGCCTTCAGCCGATGCATCTGAAGGATTGCCATTTAACTACCTCTGTGCTGGCTGCTGAGGGTCTGTGGGTCCCTCTCATCCTAATTCTAGTCCTGGATTAGCACAGGCGGTGGAGGAATGGACTGGAACCTGACTGTCCTTAGAGAGCCTGTGGCTCTGAAACATACTGGACTGGCTTTGCACTCAGCCTGGTCTTCTTCACCCTTCTTCCCCAGCAGAGTCATGGTGGGGCTGGCCTCAGACATGGAGGTTTTGTCCCACTCCTGTGTCCTTCGTTTCCATCAGCTTCAACCCCACCCTCGACCCCTTCCTGCTCTCAGGTATCTATCAGTTGACCCTTGATAGCAAGTAGATGCTCTTATTTTGCTCAGAGCATTTCTTTAAGGCAATAAGTTGTTACGGAGAACCAGGTGAGTAAAATTTCAGGCCATAACGCTGTTGTGAAGATAGTTGAGGTTTAAGGCTGGTTTTCAACATCTTTTAACTTCTACCGAGTTAACACATTCTCTGTTGTAAGAACGTCTGCTGAAAGGCATTTTCCTGCCCATTTTATAGTTTTCCCTTTGCAATAGTCTGTGAAGTAGGAGGGATATTATTCTTGATCCCATTTTACAGATAAGGACACTAAGCTTCAGCATAACGAAAGGACTTACCCTAGGCCACACCTCCAGTAAGAGGCAGAAAGGGGTTGACTACAGATATAGTTCCACTCTGTGTCCTCACCCAAATCTTACCTTGAATTGTAATCCCATCATCCACAGGTATCAGGATCAGAACCAGGTGGAGGGAACTGGATCATGGGGGCAGTTTCCCTCAGGCTGTTTTTGTGATAGTGAGTTATCACAAGATCTGATGGGTTTATGTCTAGCATTTCCTCGGCTTGCACTCACTCTGTCCTGCCACCCTGTGAAGAAGGTGACTGCTCTTCCTTTGCCTTCCACCATGATTGCAAGTTTTCTGAGGTCTCCCTAGCAATGCAGAACTGAGTCAATTAAGCCTCTTTCCTTTATAAATTACCCAGTCATTTCCTCATAGCAGTATGAGAAAAAACTAATACAACTATATAGGCCTTTTGAAGTCAAATATAATGTTCTTTCCTCTGTTCCTCAGATAGTCTTAACATTTGCTCTTCTTGAATATTTTATGGATCTGTCCTAAATTTTATAGTACTAAAAGCTGTTGAGTTTCTTTCATAGATGGAAGATACGGTTGATTCAATTCAGTTTACATCAATTCTATATTGAGTCCAAACAGAGTTTTGGGCTAAATACTGGAAACAAATAGAAAGCCAAGGCTCTTCCCTCAAAGAGGTCTCAGATGAGGGGAATTTGAATTTGCTTCTCACTGGTGCCTTTCCAATCCCTTCCCAATCCTCTCCAGCCGTTTGGAAAGAAAATAAGGCCTTTACTCTGCCAAGCTGGAGGTCTTTCCTCCTCAGAGCATTTTTGTCTTGGAAGAGAAATCAATGGTTCTGCAAACCTGGTAGTGGATTGCAGCCAGGCTCTAATAGGAGAGACCTGTTTTGGGATGCTTCAGTGGCTCTCGATCTGGAAGAAGACCCTGTGATTAAGAAGATCATGATGAGAATGGCATACCTCCTTTAGCACCAAGATGTGAACCTCGAATTGTTCTTGTTTGCTGTGAGCTCTGTGGCAAGGTCCACCCTTGCGGGAAGGGACCTTATCACAGATTCTTGAGAGACTGAACTGAATTGTCTGTCTGGCCAAGAGAAGCAGAGGTGAGGGCCATTGATGCCAGTCACATTCACATGTTGACCTGATCTTGGTGACCTTCCTAACTAACATACCATTGCAGAGATCTACTGTGGTGACTACACTTGTTTAAAACAAAACTGGACCAAGTTGCCCATCAGGCATGGCCAGGACAACAGGAAAGAAAAATCAGCATTGCAACATCTCTGAAAAAGCTAGAAGTGAACATCTGCCCACACCCTCCCCTGCCCCTGATCTCTTCCTTCCTGTGTACTAGATTTCTTGTTTGGGAAGATGAATTGCATAAAGGGGTTTAGCTGAGGGTGTTTTCCTCTATCACAAGCTGAGACTACAGCTGGTTAGCCCTTTGCTTTGTCTAACACCATGGAATATCTCCTTAGGCATGAGACTTAGATATTCACATTCTCTTGGGAAGCTTGGGTGGTGATACTGGCCTTCCTTGCTCTGTTGACTGTGATCTTGAGCCTAAGCATCATTCTTAGTTAGAATTTTGGGACAAAATCTTCTGTCCTATCTTTAGTGCCTAATTATTCTGTATTTCTTTCTACTTAAGAAACCTTCAGGACATATGAGATTGTGAGGTATTTGGGGATCTTAAATAACTGATACCATTTATTATTGTCCATCAGGTGAAGCAACAGAGCTAAAGTCTAATTGACAAGTGACTCTTGGTTTGAAATCTAATTGATTCCTGGGGAGCCATGACTGATTGAACCAGCGTAAGACAAACTCTCATTTTCTGTAAGTGTCATTTTATCAATTCCATTTTCTACCTTGTAATCTAATCTCATACCACAAAAATACCCAGAGTAATTCCGACAAAATGAAACTAAAATAAAACACAGATACAAGCTTTTCAAATATTTATAAACTATATAAAGACAAATTCAATAGAAAAGTTATAACAATGTTCTATTTGGGCGATCCTTTTGTCTTTTGAGCTGAAATGAACTGGCCTGAAGCTTTTTGAAATGTTGCTTCCATGAAATCTGGATTGAGGTTATTTCTTCTTTCTGTGATAAATCTCCCTGTAACAGTGGCTCTCAACTGAGGGTGATTTTTTTTTTCCTCTCAGAGGACATTTGGCAATGTCTGGAGACATTTTTGGTTGTTACAACATGGTAGGGGGTGGGGGTCATACTGAAATTTAGTGGGTAAAAGCACAGGGCAGGTCCCTACAACAAAGAATTATCTGACCAGAGTGTCAATAGTACTGCTGTACTGAAACACTGCTTTGCAGCAGTCATGGACATTTCGAACTGAGCTAACATTCAGGTCATGTCGTTGAAAGAAAAAACTAGATTTATATGACTATTTCTCAAAATCTTTAAATGGCACTGGATGGGGGTTGGGGTAAAATAGGAGGGCAGGGAGTTCTGCATTGACTTCTTCAACCATCTCTTGCCTTTCCAAGTCAGTAAGTTAACTGAGTTACCTTTTTTTTTGAGACAGAGTTTCGCCCTTGTTACCCAGGCTGGAGTGCAATGGCGCGATCTCGGCTCACCGCAACCTCCGCCTCCTGGGTTCAGGCAATTCTCCTGCCTCAGCCTCCTGAGTAGCTGGGATTACAGGCATGCGCCACAAGGCCCAGCTAATTTTTTGTATTTTTAGTAGAGACAGGGTTTCACCATGTTGACCAGGATGGTCTTGATCTCTTGACCTTGTGATCCATCCGCCTCGGCTTCCCAAAGTGCTGGGATTACAGGCTTGAGCCACCGCACCCGGCCAACTGAGTTACCTTTAATTGCAACCCAGGTTGTTATTGTTGCCAATTGTTTCAGTGTAGCTTTGGTTGTAAATACAACGAGTTGTGGTTATTACTTTGTGGTTTTTATTTAGGGGAAAAAAAGTCATAAACTGAGTGTGGCTCACAAATCAAGCCAGGTATTACCTGCATCCAGGCACGATATATACATTCTTCATAGTTTTCATTGTTTTTCTTGGATCGTTAAATTTCCTGTACAGCTATATATCGAATTTTCATAATTGCTACTGCATTTCTTATACACATATTCCAAGAAACCTCTGAGGAGCTTATTGTTTGTCGTGAAGAACGCAGCTGTGAATGGATGCCTAGCAGTGATTTCTAATGACAGCAATTTTTATTTAAAGCATTAAAGGGCATCAACATTGAAAAGTTGATCCATACCTTCCACTGGCCCCTGGGCTCTGCCCCCAGGGTACAGTAGTCAGCTTTTTGCGAAGGTTCTGTCAACTTTTTGGCTTCAAGAGACTCCTTAATTGCCACTTTTCTTAGAGTTAGAAGTATTTTAAATGTGTCTGACTTAAAAAAAAATTTGTCAATGTTGAAATGACAACGCTCATCCTAATTAACTGAGTTTTTCACTGTATATCTCTTTCCATTTTCTCGTGAACACATAAATATAAGTTTGGAAATTTTATTCTATTTTAAAAACTTTGAAGCAAGGAGCCTTACATATGTGTGACATATCTGAATTAGAGAGTAGGGAGTTTGATAAAAACTGGTGGAAAAGGAAAGAGGCAAAAAGAGAATTTATGTCTGGTCCACAGACCATGGATTGCTGAATCTCTTTCTAGAGTGACTTCTCCACCAGCAGGAACACCTCTGGGAAAGGAGCCATGTCTGGTTTGTGTACTGCCTTGCAACTGCGTGATGGTTTATTTTATGTGTCAACTTGACTGCACCACAGGGTGCCCTTATTAAACATTATTTCTGGGTGTGTCTGCAAAGGTGTTTCTGGATGAGATTGGCATTTGAATTGGGGCACTGAGTAAAGTAGATTGCTTTCCCTATTGTGGGTGGGCATCATCCAATCCCTTGAGGACCTGAAAAGAACAAAAAGACTGAGGAAGGAGGAATTCACCTTTAGTTTTCTTTCTGCCCATCTGTTGAGCTGAAACATTGTTCTTTCTTAAAAATTTGGGATTTAAAACAGTGGCTCTTCTAATTCTCAGTCCATTGGATTTGGACTGAATTATACTACCAGGTTTCTTGAGTCTGCAGTTTGCAGACAGCAGATTGTGGGGCTTCTTGGTCTCCATAATCACATAAGCCATTTCCTCATAATAAGTCTCTCTCTCTCTCTCTCTCTCTCTCTGTCTCTCTCTCTCTCTCTCTCACACACACACACACACACACACACACACACACACACAAAATATAATATACATCTCCTATTGGTTCTGTTTCTCTGGAGAATCCTGACTAATACAAACTGATATTAAAGTTGCAATAAAAGAATCTTTTTTAACTGGAGGGAAAAAGAAGAGAGAGAGACCAAATTTCTTCTGGGAGAAGCAGGGTGTGTGTAGGCCTTTCATCTTTTTGTATATCCAGAATCAGCATTGGATCTGGTGTACAGAAGGTACTTATTGAATGTGGACGATGAGATGAGTGAAGAGGAACAAGAGACTCATTTATGTGTAGCTTTACAAGTTCAACGTGTACTCTTTATAATTCTTTGAAAGCCCAGGCAATGGGGAATACTGCACAAGATACAGGCCCAGAGGGCCCTAATTTGTGGTGATGTCTTATTGCTCACTGGCAAAGGGGTCACTGCTAAAGCACATGTCCTCAGGGCCACTGGGGGCATTACGGGTGAGAAGATGCTACTAGGTAATTGCACTGATTACTAATGCTGCTAACATTTCTGTTGCTAAATAATCCACTTTTAATATTACCCTTGGCAGTTCTTCGTTCCCACAACACAGAAATAATTAAATCTGTGTTCAGATGGTTGTAAATGCACCCAGAGGTCTTAGACAACGGGTGAATTATGCTCATTTAAGTTAAAACAATGCTAGTTTGGCAACCTTGGGAATAAATACTAATTACTAAAATTCCTTTAAGTTCCACTGTATCACATTAGTTTCTATTTTCATTTTCCAGACAACAACATACAGGACAAGATTCAGGTGACAGGTTTTTATTTCAGTATTACAGTGGTCACTCCTGGGGTCCCAGAAGCTGTGGGTTTCCAGAGTGGCTTATTTAAAACAGGAAATGTGGCTATTTTTAAAGGGCCACCATGTTCTGACATTCCAGAAATTGTCTTTTTTTTAGGAAATGAGAAGAAAAAGAGGAAATGTGGCATAGAGCAAGGGCTAAGAAAGGTTCCTTGCCTGCGCTGTTCGTGAGGGCGCCTTCTACGGCAGATGGCCACGTGGCTGGAGTTTTGTCCCTGTGTTACACATGGCCCCAGGGGTGTGAAGAAGCCTGCTGGTGCCTACAAGAGAATAGAAGGAAGGAGCCTTTTAAAAAAAGTTGTTTCTAGGGTTGGGATTCTGTTTCTTCTTTAAAGCATTCATTATTTCTCCCCTTTAATATGGAAGGTGGAGAAAGGTCTCTCCTTGGCGGTCTTTGTCTGCACAATGCCCAGTCTGTTCTGGGCTGTGTTATTGAACTCCAGGCAAATGTGAGTACTAAACCACTCTTGGCCCCTTTCCAGCAGGCTGTGCTGTTTCATGCCCCCAACACTGGTTCATGTGGCTCCCACCTCTCCTTTTCCCTTGAGTAATTTCTGTTGTCATCCAACTTCCCCCGGATAGGTTCCTAAAAACCACGAGCCTGGCCGGGCACCGTGGCTCACTCACAGTAATCCCAGAACTTTGGGAGGCCAAGGCGGGCAGATCACGAGGTCAAGAGATAGAGCATAGTGAAAGCCCATCTCTACTAAAATACAAATTAGTTGGGCGTGGTGGCGCATACCTGTAGTCCCAGCTACTCAGGAGGCTGAGGCAGGAGAATTGCTTGAGCCCGGGAGGCAGAAGTTGCAATGAGCCGAGATCGCACCACTGCACTCCAGCCTGGTGTCTGGTGACAGAGTGAGACTCTGCCTCAAACTAACCAACCAACAAACAGACAAAAAACCCGAGCCCACTCCAGCATGGGAGAGCGTGTCTGGGTTTGTGGTGCTTACCCCACACTGTTATTCAGTTATCTCTGCACTTTCTGACTGCCTGTGCTCCTGGATCTGGACTGGAAGAAGTTCCCCTCATGACCCTCTTTTTGAGGCTGTTCCTTGGCTGGGGTCTTACTTAATGTAACCCAGAGGTTAGAGTTGGTCTTACATTATGCGCTGGGTCCATTTGTAAGGGACGGGAAGGGACAAGGTTTTTCCAAGTGACCAAGGCTGACAGGCAGTGGCTAATGGTGCATTATTAGCCTGAGCTGCTCCCTGGCAGTGGAGGAGCTGATTGAGTGGAAGGCAGGCTGGCCTGTCAGATGTTCTCCAGTACCCATAGATGGCACTAGAACCTTGGGGATCAGACCACCCCTGGGCACTTGAGGGTTGAGGGAGCCAGGAGAGGAGGCCGGAAAAAGGTGGGCAGTGTGTCACTGTCTCTGTGGCTGGTCAAGGACTCAAAACTGTACACCAGGCCCGTCCAGTGATGCTGGGGCACCAGGTGCAACCATCCACTGGTGACCTTTTCTGATGGTAAAAGCAAAGGGTGAGATGTTATTTTTACCTGAAAAGGCGGTTAAAGGTTAAAATGACAAACTAAAATGCAGAGGGTTTGGAGGATTTGGTGTTTATGATTTCTGAAAGTGGGTGGAAGATAGGGAGGAAAGATAAAGGAAGAGAGAGAAAGATGCAGAGAGGAGAGAAGTGGGGGGCAGGTGGGGAGAATGAGGAGGAGGGCAGAAATATTCAGGATATAACAAGAGAACAGAAACAGGGTGGACAAGGGGCGTAGATAGGCGAGCAGGGCCATGGGGGAGAACAGTTCACCCAAAGGGTGATGCAGAGAAGAAATGTTGGCAGAAGTGGGCCAGAAACGCTGAGGACAGGAGGCCCAGAGAAAAGAAGGCAGGCCTATCCTTAAGACAGGCATGCCCCCCCAGTCTCCCAAGGACTCAGAAGACACGTGTCATTCTTTCAGGATCTTTTATTAACGTATAGAAAATGTGTTTAAAAAAGGAACTATACAGAGGCTAAAAGCAACCAGGACTAAAAATACTAGTTAACAATGGTTAACAAGCAGAGATTCCAGTCTTTGAGCTACAGTGACATGAAAGGATCAGGGAAGTTGGTTTTTCCTCTCCCTTCCTCTGTGTTTTTATTTTTATTTTAGCTCATGAAAGTGTGCATTGTCTGAGGAGTATGTACTCCATTTTCTTCTTTTTTGCTTCCTTCCAGTCTTTAAGTAAGTGCTTTTTCAAGCTCACTGTAGCTACAAAGTCAGTAAATTGGTCTTTGTTATTTTTACCTGAAAAGGCTATTAAAGGTTAAAATGACAAACTCAGATTCAGAGGGATTGGAGGATTTGGTGTTTATGATTTCTCAGAACCACAATCCAGAGACCACCAGGGTGGGTTTCAGCTGCTTGGAGCCCCAGGTAATGACCCTCCTCAGTGTCACAGTGACTTGCTTAGGGTACCTGGGCATCCCCATGGGCCTGGGGAGTATTCGAGGTTGGAATCATTAGATGTGTGTGTGTGTGTGTGTGTGTGTGCATGTGCACCTGTGTACATGTGCATGTGTGTGTGTGTGTATGTATCAATGATTAGAAGGAGGAGCCTATGTGTTAACCAGAATAGACTACGTGGGTTGTAAACCTTGAGTCTGTGGGACCATGGTGTGAGTCTGGGCCTCCGCAGCTGGTAAAGGAGCACTTAGATGGCTGACATTTCTGCAGGCGTCATGGTGTCTGTTGCATCTAACGCACAGGTGTCACTGCTGCCCAAGCAGCCCCCATACTGAAAGGGAGCCAGTGTTCCGGGGTTCTTTCTTGGGGAAATCTATTCTTTTATATATAAACATCATTCAATTAAAGGGAAGGTGCTTATGTCTGGAGTTTTGGCCTGGCAGCTAAAAATACCAGGTTGCCAAGTACTGATTTCCTTCTAAATTCCCCAGAGTAGCAAAGAAAGCTGAGATTGTAGCCAGCTGTCCTCTGGTGCCTTCCCATCCACTGGGGATGTGAGGCAGGGAAGGTGTGGGGAAAAGAAACCGGGGGAAAGTAAAATGAATGTATCTCCTGCCTTCTAGCCTCATCCCCCAAATATTTCCACTGATGTACTCCTGCAGGGGTCTGTTAAGGTGTTTGTACTCCCCGAAGTCTGGAAGAAGGTAGCCTAAATCAGTCTGTAATCTGCTGGTTGTAGCCTAAAAATTTATAGAATTTCTGCATTTGCACTATCTGTACTGGTTTGAAACATTAATAATATAACCCTTTCTTCCCAAATTCTGGAGTGAAGCTGACGCTCTGGGAACATGTGCCATGTTTATCCTGTGGCTTTTCCTTCCTTAATCCTGGCTACACTGCCTGCTCCAGCTTCAAAAAAATGACTTTGGAATATCCCACTCTTCTAATGTTGGGATGTTCCAAAAAGAGTGGGGTGGGGGTATTGGGTTTATGTTCTGGTTCTTATCTTACTCTCCCATTCTGTTGGGGACCCTCTCCCTCATCTGCCAAATTTAAAAAGAAAGAAAAGGAAAGAGCCGTTGGATGTTTCTTATTGAGAACCCCCTGGAGTATATGGCAAAACAAATGCAAGAATTTCCTTTTCTTAAAAGTCAGAGGAAGTAATATCAAAGCCCATTTGTGAGAATATTAGTAAAATCCAAGATGGCGGTCACTTGGTTAAATAAATATAAAGGGAGCAGCCTCGTGAAGTGGAAAAATCCAGGGCTTCAAAATTAGACCGAGGTTCAGATTATGGCTCTATTTAGTAGCTGTGTGACTTCGAGCATGTTACTTAACCTTCCTAGCCCTCCATTCATTCCCTCATCTATAAAATGGTTAAATCTGACTTTAAGTTTATGGTGAGGATTTAATAAAGTAAGATATGTAAAGCCCTTTGCACAGTATCTGGTAAGTAGTAGGTATGCAATAAATGCTATTTATCTTAGTCGTCATTTGGGGATAATCAAATTAAAAAGCCTATACCAGACCTGAACTCGGCTCTATTACTGATTGCCTGCGTGCAAGTTCCCTAGCCTTTCTTGGCCTTGGTTTCTTTGAGAGGAAATAAAATGAGAGAATCAGATTAGGTGATCTTGAGTCTTATCCAGCTCTGAAGGTGTATTTCCAACATTTGCCTGTTAGAGGCAGTGTTGACCATATTAGTGCTCAATATTAGGCTATAAAAGAGCAACTCAGGGTCTCCCTGGGGGCTGCTAAACCAGTGATGGGAAGAAAATAATAGTCCATACATTCTCGTCCATGCATTTACCTGACAATGCACTGGACTGAAACCCTTTCTTGTGACCTAGGTGTTCTAGACCTCTTGAGTGTGCGGCTTGCTTCTCAGGGAAGATGCCTGCACCACCTGACCTGAATCCATGGTGCCAATGAGCGAGTGCCAGTAACCAGAAGAGCTGATGTCATGAGAATAATAGAGTTAAATGTTTCTGAACTGGAACTTTAGCATTAACCCAGCTTCACAGCCCAGACAATAAGGAGCTGTTTTATGAAGTTGTCAGAGGGGTCTCTGAGTGTGTCTGAGGAACAAGAGCTGTGTTATTTGGATGCTCTGTGAGAGCCTTATTAAGCTTGAGGAAGGAGGGAGGATTTCCCGTTTGAAGAAAATGCAACACTATCCAAAGACTGCGAGGTTTGCCAAGGACATTTGGACAATGAAGAGCTGCAGGTGCAATGAAGTCATGTTTCAGGCAAGGGTTGACTTTAAAAAATCAATCAGAATGCTGGAGATGACAAATCAGGCTTGTGGTCACTGGTGATGGAAAAGTGAGATCCATGCAGAATTGGCTGAGCAAGCAAAGGAAGCCCTCTGCCTCTGGTTTTCTGTGCAACGACAGGCCTTGGTGCCTTAGTTTCTCCTCAAGTAAAGTGGGTGAATGGCAGGAGCTCTGGTGGGAGATGGGAGGCCAGAACTTGAGAAGCCAGTGCTGCTGCCTCTCCCATGGCTGCTCCTGCCTGGCCTCTGCATTTTAGTATGGCGCCATCTGCAGAAGGCTTGCTTTAAATCTCCAATGATCTGTCCGTTTCTTCTTAATTTTATGTTTTTCTTCTTCCCACCGGTTTCTCAAAGCTTGATGAATGTAGAACTGGCATAAACAAATCCAGGGTGAATACAATTAGAAGGAAACAGAGACTTTTTTTTTTTTTTCCAAATTGGACCTGAATCTACACCAATACATCATCTTAAAGCACATAGTAGTTGCTTTCCCTGCTTGCTTCTGGACTGGTAGCATCCAAATGCTCCAGTATTGTTGAAGAAAGCTTCATCACATATGTGTAGGATTGGGTTATGGAAGAAGCAAAGGTTTGAAGAGGAATTTAGCTCAACACCTTCAGGAATGTGGTCAGAGGACTCTGTGATACAACCAGAGAGAAGCTACAGGCACAGCCCCAGAATCCAGCCTGTAACTCAGCGTTCTTTAGAGGACAGAGCCTCTCTGTTACGGTAACCTGGGTGAAAGCACACCATCAGGGAAGTGAGGCAGAGCTGAGTATGCAGCGTCCAGCACCTGGGTGGGGGCAGACCCCCAGACTCCACAGATCTGTCCTGTTCCTCTGAGGTCCCAAGACTCCTCTTGCAGCTGTGGCAAGTTTGAAGGAAGTGGAAACAAATTATCCCAACTCCTATGGAATTATTGAAACTGAACTGAAGTTTGAATCTTTCAGAGGTTTCTTAACAACATTTTAAGAGAGGACAGTGAGATGCAAGTAAGGTGGAAAGTGTACCCCAACCCCACACCCTAACCACTTGAAAGAAAAGACATGGAATGAAGAAATTTGGTGAATAGTGTTCTAGTGATAAGGAAGCAAGCAGTAGGAAACCACATATCCTGGGCAAGGGGCCCCACCTTTCCTGAAATTCTGAGTGGAGTGTAAAAAAAAAAATAATAATAAAATGTTGTCATGCCTCAAGAGTATTTGCAAATCCAGGTCACCAGCTAGTCTATTTCAACACCCTCAGCTTGGTGCGTGCACCATCTTCTTGCGCGCTCCATCTTTTCTCCAGAAGAGGGGACAAAGAGGAACTCATCAACTCTTTCCCAACTGATGCTTTTTTAAAAGAGCTCTTTGAAAAGATTCCACAATGACCTTCTGTCCCTTAATCTACAGCTGTGCTCGGGGACTGGATTTGAAACGTAAAAATGTGATCAGTATTGTTTGGTTTGGCATTGAGCTCATTGACAACCATGGTTCTTTAGGTCTGGCTTTGAAACAACAGGATACTGGTTGGTTCCCACGAAGCAGGGTGTTAGGGGTCTTACCACTTTATGAGTAGTGGAGGGGAAGTTGGTAGGTGAGGGACAGGTGGATTCAAATATTTGTAGATGTTTGCTTGCATTTCCTTGCTGCCACACGTTGTTGATTTTACAAATCAATCTCCCATACAAATCAGCTGGCCAGTTTTCCTGGGTCCTGGTTTGGCTCTTCTGGAAACCTGGAGACCTGGCTTTTCACACAGGGTTTCAGGAGGTGACTGCCACCTTGTGGCCACACTTAGCAAGCCCCCCTTCACGGGTTCACTCTGGGTCTCAAGGCCAGCAGTTTTCCATAGACTTGTCATTCTTGCCATCCCTTCCACACCTGACCCCTTCACCTTCCAGAAATAACCCTGCTGGATGTGAGTTTGATATGCTGGCAACTATCTTTATATGATGGGGAAATGCAAAAACGGGAAACTGCGTGTGTCTTGGGTCTAGTCAGTGGGTCTATTGCAGTCATTGGTGGTGGTTTTGTTTTTGGGTGTAGGTACATACATATCCTGATGGGTCTGCAGTTAAACAGCCTCGGAGAAGGGTCTGCCTTGGTTCCTTTTGAGTCCCTTGAGGAAACTGGTGTGCATAGGGTGGGTGCTTACGAGTATTGCTTACTGGATCTGCCTTTGAGAAATTGTGCTCAGAGGAGCAGGATAAGCAGGAATCAGTGAGGAAAGTTAAGAGCATTGAGTCAAGTTGACCATAGACCTTGGGAAGAGGGTGGGGCACAGTGTCTTTTAAACTTGGTGAAAACTCATGAGAAAATTACTCTACTTTATAAAAGGAATCTATAATCCTTTTATAGAGGGCTGAATGAGCTGATCTTTGAAGTCCCTTTCTTGCTTCAAAATGAAGCTAGGCAATGCCACTGGTATTATTTATAAAAATGTTCCATAGTGTAGAATGATTTCAATAAAGGGAAGATTTTGGTTTCCACTGATGTTTCTTGTCTTTCATCTGAATTGAGAACACATAATCTTTTTCCATTTCAACTTCCTTGATGAAGTGGGCTGTGCTGGCACCACCCAGGTACCTGGGCTCTGTTTCTATGGACAAAATGAGTTCTGCCTCTTACTCAGCATGGTCTTTTCTGCAATGTCTTCTTGTGTATGTGTGTTTTACTTATGACTTCTGAATCGATCTCTTTTTCCTTCCTTCATTTCTTTCCTCATGAAACAGGGACTTGAGTGACTTTTCATTACCTAATTGTGTTCTCTCACCATGCCAATTTCTACTCAGGTTTTCAGATCACAGATTAGCATTATTGACTGTCAAAACTGAAAGGGAAATTAGAACTCATTTTAGTCTAACCTCTCATTTGACAGCTGAAGAAGCTGAGGTCTAGAGAGGCAAAACAACCCAGTCAAGGTCATGTAGCTAAGATGAGTTTCCCATTCAATGTGCTTCCTGCTATTCATTGTTGTCCCATCTCTAGCTAAGTCTTATGCAATTTACATGCTTGTTGTAAGGATTTGTTTCTGTTTCTTCCTCCTCCCTGTTTGTTGAAGCCCATGGTGAAGTAAGAAATGGAAGTGATGCCTAGATTTTTCAGGGTATCACATCCACACCACAGCAGTGGACAAAGCCTAGGAGATTGGCAAGGAGCATGCCTCCAGACAGTGGTGGCTGGCTGCATCCCCATGAGGTCCAAGGTATGATGGTCAGCCCAAGGGACTGTCCATCCTGGTTCTCAAAGCTTGGTAAGAGTGAGGATGTTTCAGTTAGAAAATTGCCAACACTCAGGCTCATCCAGTAACTGGTTGGCAAAGGTACATGCTGCCCCAGTTAGACAAACATAGGCACTACGGAAAATGGTGCTGGGGCCTTGAGGAATGGGAGGGGAAAGGAAGAAGACAGCTTAAGGAACTGGGCGTGGATTTGGGCAGATGTCGCAGGGATGGTTGCTGATATTTGATTTGGAGGAGAAGTTGAAAGGTTATGCCTTTTAAAGCCCTAGCTCTCTTGGGCTTAAGAATGAAATCATGCTAGTGAAGACAGTGCTGCTCATAAAATGGGAAGTAGGCCCACAGTTATTGCCTATTCACCTTTGGATTTCTGAATGTAATTTCCTTTGGCTGTTATCATTTTTCCTTTCAAAGGCAGAATAGTAAAAGAAGATGAAAAGGCTTCTCATGATCTCACCTCATTAAGAAGGTCATTCCTGTTTCCCATAGGACCAAAAAGGAAAAAAAAATTCAACCTCTTTCCAGGGTTATCAGTCAGGGATGTGGCTCTCTGGGCAAATGCCTTCTTTTTCTGACTCTTATTAAGCCACCTACACTAAGGAGGGCTTGAGTGACGGCAGAAATGAGGCAGAAAAAGGAATCTGTGACAAATAGGAAGAGAAATGAGAAAACAAAGCTAGGGGAGATCCGTGTTTCCCATGGGAACTATAATCCCTAGGGCAGTGCCCTGATTGTGACTTCTTCAGTCCTTTCCTCAATGGCTGACCCAAAAGTGCTAAAAGCCACCAACATCTCCCACTCCTACCTTTGCATAAAGTACCTGTCTGACCTGAGGGTCAGTGCGGGCAGTGGCTAATGACTCACAGGGACATAGCCTCTGTGCCACCCAGGGCCAGGAGCAGGCAAGGCCTTGGGAACTAGATTCCAAAATACTGGTTGGGCTTGTGAGGCTCTGGAGTCTAACACAGGCTGGAATTAGGCAAAAGGCTCCATCAGGCCAGAAAACAGCTGCTGTTCTTGAAAAGTAATAGGACATATGGCCGATGTAGTAAAAGTGTCAGAAGATGAGAACTTTTGGCCCATTATAAAGGACTTGGGGCTGGGTGCAGTGGCTCTAGCCTGTAATTCCAGCACTTTGGGAGGCTGAGGTGGGAGGATTGCTTGAGGTCAGGAGTTTGTGACCAGTCTGGGCAGCATAGTGAGACCCCGTCTCTCCAAAAAATAAAAGAAAAATCAGCTAGGGTGGTGGCTCATGCTAGTAGTCCCAGCTATTCAAGAGGCTGAGGTGAGAGGATCACTTAAGCTCAGGAAGGTGAGGCTGTAGTGAGCAAGGACTGCACCACTGCACTCCAGCCTGAGCAACAGAGTGAGATCCTGTCTAGAAAGAAAGAAAGAAAGAAAGAAGAGGGAGGGTGGGAGGGAGGAAAGGAAGGAAGGAAGAAAGGAGGGAGGGAGGGAAGGAAGAAAGGAGGGAGGGAAGGAAGAAAGGGAGGGAAGGAAGAAAGGAGGGAGGGAGGGAAGGAAGGAAGGAGGGAAGGAAGGAAGGAGGGGGGGAAAGGAGGGAAGAAAGGAAAAAAGGAAAAAGGGAGGGAGAGAAAGAAGGAAGGAGGGAGGGAAGGAAGGAATGAGGGAGGGAGAGAAGGAAGGAAGGCAAAGAACCTCGGTTGCTGGGATGTGGAACAGTTGATCTGTTTCCTCTTAAGGGGAATTGTTGGCAAACCTCTCTTGCTGAGGCTTCTTTTCTGGGCCAATGTGAGAACCTGGCTATGGCAGGCTGTGACAAAATCACAAATACCTGGAAGGGGGGGACATCTCGGAAGAAGGGTAGAAAAAGAAGGTGTGTTGCCTGGCACCATAGCGATCTGTACTCCACAACTTGCCTTTGAATTGGCCCTTTAAGAAAACATCCCACTTTTCCTCCTTGGTGGGAAAGGAGGTGAAGGTTGAGGAGGGCTAGGGAGGAGGGAGAATGGAGACTGAGGGTCAGGCTCCAGGGCAGCAGAAACCAAGAGCAGATGGTAGTCAACGGATTCCTGCTACATCCCTGCTTCCTTCACATATTCTTAACATGTTGCAAAACACATTGCTATTACCCTCCCCCCTTGTTTCATATTATAAAAGACAAACGAATGACAGAAAAGATTGGTTGGCTCGCAGCAGCCTGCTGCTCAGAACTGTAAGGACTGCCGTTTCCTCCCTGCCATGAGACGGTGGTTGTAGGGGCGCATCTTCATTTCCACAAAGGGGATGGAGAACTCGTGGCCTTTCCAATGGTACCAGTTGATGCCCTGGACATGAGAAAGACAAGCATGTCAGGTCATCCACCACCGTGGAATGCCCCACTTCAAAAGAATGGTAATTATGGGAACAGGGAATCCACAATGTGGGGTTAGCTATTTTCAGCCAACATGAAGATTTGAGGCCGTGTTCCCAATAAAGTGAAAGGGGCAGAGTCTCTTTCCAGCTTTCTCTTTAAAAGTGCTGGTGGCCTGCGTCTTTACAGGGAACACGTTGCAGGTCATTCCTTACTACCAGCTTTGTTTTTGGCTTCTAGGAGTGGCATCCACCAGTAATGGTTATGAAATCCCAACATGATGGAAGCGTTTGGAAGTCAAACTGTGTTTGACTGCTCACTTCTAATGAGAGACTTAGGCGGTTTCTAACTAGGGTGACAAACCCTTTTGGTTGGCTCAGAACTAAGGAATGTCTCAGCTGTGGGCTGTTTCAGTGTTAACACTTAGAAAGTCTAGTTGGTCCTCCTGGTTTCCCTGTCACCCAGCCCAGCCCTATTGACTTGTGGTCTCTGATAGGGAAAGATTGTTCAGTTCGCACTAGTATTTTCGACCTCTACCTTTCTGGGACCCTTTTTAGGGTAAAGTTGAGCCTGTGAAGCTGTCCCCAGAACTGATAAGCTCGTCATGGGATCTTCTGAGGAGGGAATGAAAAGGAACTTGGCTGGGCATCAAGGGCTTCTCTGGGTAAGTTCTAGCTCCTGGGTCCTTTCCTTTCCTTCCTATAGCTTCTACTCTGTTCTGATCTTATCCCATTGTCTGCATTATTTTTCTCAAGACTCCAAATATTTCTTTTTAAAGGCAAACGAAGGACCCACGTGTGCCTTTAAAACATAAAGTTAAGGGAGCATGGGCTCCACAGCTCCGGCTCATTCACAGCAGAGGCAAAGCGTCGCTCACCTGACTGTGCCTGGACTCCCCGTACTTCCCATTGAGGTTGGTCCGGTGGCAGTTCTTATACCACCACGCTCCCTTGTATGACATGGCACAGTTGGTCACTGCAACATCATTGTCTCTATCCTCTGTGGAGAAAGGGCGTCCTTGATGATAACTGAGGGAGTCCCCTGCAAAAAAAAGATACATTCATGAGGCTGTCCCCTTTGTCACTATTTTATCAGGATTTTTTGGATATTTGACCCACTTCCAGCAAACCTGGTTTCCACTTATGGAGGCTTCTACTTACCTTTCCATTTCCACCCAGTTTCTCAGCGTGGCTGTACTGAACTCTTCCTCCACTTTATCCCCCAAGCTAACCATTTTCATGCTACTTTCTCCAACCCGCTTCCATCGCTTCTACTGCTTTTGCCGAGAACTTTCTCCACTCAGCTCCTATTCATTGCACCTCCCATACCCCAACTGTTTCCTCCAGGCCCATAATGGGACACAGGCCACTCCTGGTTCCTACTGTCTTTGGAGGAGCTAGAGATGAGCCAGGCAGAATTGGGCCATTCTGGGTCTCACCATGCAGCCTCAACCTGACTTCTCCCTGGCTCACGAGGCCTGCTCAGATGACACCCAAAAACCCACATTCAGAACGGGAGACCACACAGGAAGAGATGCATCAGCAAACTAGGGTTCCCATCTATAAGAAACAGGATGACGAAAACCCAGAACTATGTCAAAGGAGAAGTGCTTGGGACATCTGGGCTGTATCTTGGGGAAGAGTGGACTTCAGGAGGCAGTCATGGCCTGTGGTCACTGTTACCAAATATTTGACGGGCTACTGAGAAAAAAATGCAGTAAATTCTGTGGGGAATTATTAGGATTAGTACGTGGAGACATAAAGATGGATATTTAAGCTAAATATATGAGGACAGAAATTACCTAAATATTAGAGGTGTTCACAAGTGGAATAGACTGCTGAAACAGGTGGCAAGATTTCTATTCTCGGGGCAAGCAGAGGCTACGTGTTCTTTTCTGGAGCTATTGTGCAGGGGGCTCAGGTAAATTGTGCATTTAAGGTGAGGGATTAGACTGTAATTCTAACAATTGGTAAAACTTAGCAGGATCAGGACTTGTGGCTAGGGATGTTGCCAAGGGGGCTCATGCTATTTATTAAATGAACGAGGTCTTGGGTGCCTCTCCTTGCTTCAAGTGAGGAGAGACCTATTCTGATTCTGTGGCTTCTGCGTCCAGGCTCACTGTGGCCACTCAATGCCTCCAATGCTTCTCACCACAACTTAACTCTCAAGAGGTTGATCTTTATAGGGAAGGCTGATGCCCTCAGTGGGGCGGGGCGGGGGGGGGTGTTAACTCAAAATTTCATTATCTTCGTCTTCCCCTTTCCATCTTCTTCGTCTTCCCCTTCCAGTCTCCAGGGACTCAGCTTTTGTGCCCATCTGGAGTTAACCTCACCACGTGCAACTCACTCTTTCCCATCTTTCCCAGATCCTGGAAAAGGTAAAATATGTTTCTTATTTTTTCCTTTTTCTTCTATTTTTAAAAACTTTTCACACCTTCTCACCCTAAGTCATATTCATTTCCTTTGTCTTAAAAATTCTTAGATTAATCCTACTCCTTAATGATTATTTCTTTCACCATCAGTTCCTTGACTCTGCGGCCTCCACCCACATCCTACTTTCTCACTCCCTGCCTCTCCCTCTGTAGTCTAGAATTTGTCCTCCTTATTCCGCTGGAGCAGCTTCCACTTTCAGGCTGCCTTCCACTGTCACAGACATGCTCCCAATGTTTGTCTTTACATCCTCCGAAAGCCTGGCTTCCCTTCCCGTTTCTGCCTCATACAGCCGCCTCATATGTTTAACACATTAAGTCCTGGTTTCTCTCTCTCAAACCACTGTTCATATTTATACCTTTTTCTTAATTCCCAACATTCGTCAAGGCTCCTATTATCTCCTGTTAGGACTGATGCAGCAGCCACCAGCTGTTTTCTGTTCTTCACTTGGACTTTATCCTATTCATGGCTGTCACAGCGATCTTCCTAAACCCCACTTCTGTTTTTTCTCCTTGGGACCTACAATGGCCCTCCATTGCTACCATGTTAAGACTGAATTCCTCTGCCCCTTGGTTTCTGGCTTCTGGATCTGGCTGTACCTGCCTCACCAATCTTCTCTATTCCTCCTGAATTTATACTTTGCCCTGCTCTGCCAGGCCCTTCACAGCCTCCTGTCCTCCACAGCATCTGCTCCTTCTGTGACTTCCAGGGCTTGGTTTTCTTACCATGGGGATCTCAGTCAAATGTGGCTATGTGGCTGCCTTCATGATGCCGTCCTCCACCATAGAGACTCCCCTTCTGTGAAAACCCCTTAAACTAGAAGTGAGAGGCTGGGCATGGCGGCTCATGCCTGTAATCCTAGCACTTTCGGAGGCCAAGGTGCGTGGATCACCTGAGGGCAGGAGTTCAGACCAGCCTGGCCAACATTGTGAAATCCTGTCTCTACTAAAAATACAAAAATTAGCCAGGTATGGTGGCATATGCTTGTAATCCTAGCTACTCGGGGAGCTGAGGCAGGAGAATCGCTTGAGAAGCAGAGGTTGCAGTGAGCTGGGATAGCACCACTGCACTCCAGCCTGGGTGAAAGTGTGAGACTTTGTCTAAAAACAACAACAACAACAACAACAACAACAAAAACCCAAAAAATACTAGAAGTGAGTACTATTGATTGTGTGATGAGTTACTTTCTGTTTCTTTTTAAAACTAGACATTCAGTTTCTGTAGAGGCCATGTTTTATGCTTCTTTTGAGTCGCCACAACTTGCACAATAAACTTTTAGGAGTTAACAACTTCTGATTGATAACTTAATTTGGAACTTTTAGTTCTGATCCAAATAGCGTCTTAGAGACTTGAATGTTTGCAGCCTCAGGAAATGGGGAGCAGGAGAAAAGGCTGAACTTGGATCGGAGGCCCTGGGAATGGGGTGATTCAGTAGGGCCAGTAAAAATGAGAAACTACAAAAGATAAGGTCCAGGAGAAATTGGGTGATATTAAATGCCAGAAAGAGAGGGGATGGGCTCTTCCTCCCCAGAAACCTTCAGATCTATAAAGAACAACCCTGGTGTGTTGTTGCCTAGAGAGGGTGGCAGCCTAAAGAAGCCCAGCTTTTCATCTTTTGAAGATGAACTTAATATTCCAGGTGAGAGATCAGACCCTAATTAGTTGATGATGATAAGCCAAACTGTTGGCAGGATCTGCCTCTGAGACCATGAGGGTAACATGCAGTCCAACTGTTCCAGCCTCCATAGGCCCCAAAGCAAGACAGAGCTGGAACAGAGGGAGCAAGGGCTGGGTCCCAGCAGGGCAGATGAAAGCACGGGGGATGAAGAAGAGGGAGGGAGGGAGGGAGGGGGGCCTGCAGGGAACTCAGAGGGCTTGCTTCTTTTCCTGTAGGAGAAATCAGAATGGCTTTTCTACAGACACAATTCTAATCTTAGAGAGTGAATAGCATCAGGTGATTTTTGACATGATTTAGTCTGGTGTCTTGTTTAATATGCTCCATTTCAATGGCTATTTTATGCCCAAAGTGTGTCAAATTGGGCCTTTTGTTGGGGCACTTCAGGCTGATCTCATTGCTTTTGGAAATGATCTCAGATGTGAGCATAAGAAAGGAAAGCGTGTCTTCTCTTTGGAGTATCTGGCTGAAAAGGGAAATAATTGAACAGATGCAGTAACTGGAAGCACAACAGTGATGCTCCTCTTAATTTCAAGAGGCATGAAATTGCTGCTAAAATTATACACTAGCATTTAACCCTAAAATTGGTGTTAACGAAAGGGCCAATAATTCCCTGTATCATACATTAGAATATTTGGAAAAACAGGTTTTATGAAATGTGTTACAATAGAGCACAGGAAACAGGTTGGCAAAACCCAAGAAGCAGACTGGATGTTATGTTCGGAAAAAAACTACGAATGCAACCAAGCTTGCTGAGATGGTTGTTCTGCTTGGTAGAAATGCCACAAAAACCTACACAGAAAACCCAACACCTATGTGGCTCTTGTGGAGGAATGAAAAGAAATGTGACCAATGAGGAACAGCTAAGTGGCATCATTTGCTCCTTGACCTGGTGTTAGCATGAATGCTGATGGCCTTGGGGTGGGGGTGATGGGGGCGTCTCAGAGAGGGGCAACATCACATGATTTGCACTAGTTCAAAGATGGTTTTCCTAAGTGTCTTTGCATGGGAGATGTCTACCCAGACAGTAGATGATTCTGCTTTCACTGCGTAAGAGTCCAGATTGACTAATTTAGACAAGGAAAACAATCCTTTTTCATCTTCACATTGCATCTTTCTTAAACCTTAAAAGCACATTCACTCCACTGATCTCATTTTTTTCTGACTACTCAGTGAAGTAGGGCAGGCATCATTATTACAATTTCTCAGATGAAAAAACTGAAGTCCTGAGAAGTTGCTTTCAGGTGAGCGGTCAGGGAGAGCTGGGACCAGAACTAGTGGTTCCCAGTGGCATGGCCCTTCTCCCTGGCCGGCAGTGAATGCAGGAACTCTGTGGGTGCTGCTGCTTCCTGAGGCAGCTCAGGCCTAGAATGGGGGGGCCCTTGTCCCACGGCATGCCCACTGCCCTTGGTGTCTGCTCAGGAGCCATAGTACCTGCGGTGCCATTGTAGCTTCCTATGCGGAGTTTGTACAGGTTTCTGCTGTCCTCGACAGAGAACCTGTCATAGGAGGCAAAGGCGGCCTCCTGGCCATCCCGCATGTCCACGCGCAGCTCATAGCGGCCCTGGGATGTGATCCTGTGTATGTTGTCCAGCCCTGTGGAGAAGAGCAGAAAATACACTGAGACTGGCCCCTAGCAGCTTTGGAAAATGGGAGGGAAATGTGTCTGTGGCCTCAAAACATATTGCAGGGAAGAGAAGGGGACTCCAGATTGCTTTTGGCCTTGGTGCTTCACAGTTTATTATCAAATGGACCCTGGCAGACTCTGAATTTCTTCTTGCAAAGAGGCCAGCCCAGCTCTGCTGATGAGTTCCCAATATGGGAAACTCAGGGGTCCTAATACCTCCTCTTGACTCAGTAACTGACAAGCCCTGAGCCTCAAGATTCCTGTCCCCTGTCACCTCCTCTGCCAAACCATGGTACTGGAAGAAAATTACAAGAGGTATTACATGGGTGTGAGTGATCGAAAGCAAGAGATGGAAACACTAATTAGAGGAGTTCAGAGTGTCTGGAACATCTCCTGTTAGCCTGCAGGATGGGCTCTGTCCACCTTCCCTACACTGCCTCTCCTGCCTTTTGCCTCCAGGCCTCCTGGGGCTCCATAGCCAGGTCATAGAATATGACTCTAGTCCCTTTCTCTCTAATCTGCCTGCTACATTTACACTGCTACCTTTCCACTGGCCTTTTCAGCCAGTTACCCTCATTCATCTGCTTCCTCCTTTGTCTCTAAGCTTCCCAGGTCTTGGTCTAATAGATTCTTGTAAGGGGCAAACCTTTGTAAGTCCACAGGTTAGGCAGAGTCCAGATCCCCGCTTGGTGATACTTTCTTATATACATTTTCTTGCCTGCTTGTCCTGGTTGGCCATGCCCTAGGACTCTCCAATTTTGAACTACCTCCCCAAACTTCGAACCATTCACCCTGTGTTGCTGGTAATCTCTCTGAGTCCTCCTGATTTCTGTTGCTTACTGAACTAGGGTCACCTTGCCTTGCTGTGACATCTGATATCTATTTGAGTATGCCATGATTTAGAATCAGAAAATTGCAGCGACTGTAGGGAATTTAGTGGGGACTCAGGCCAGTCTCTTTGTTTTGGAGAAGAGGAAACTGAAGTCCAACAGAGGTGAAATGATTGGCTGAAGGCCATCCATGTGTTTTGGCTTTCCTGTCCCATTTGAGGTTTAGAGCTTTGCCTTGATTGTAAGTCGATGGCTGTTTGACTGCTGTTTGCTGTTGGCTGATTTGCTGACCTGCAACCCACGCTGGACTTGTGCCTGTGCAGATGTAGTAGATGCTGATGGTGCCCTGCCGGGATGTCTTTAATTGTCAGATAGATCCATCTGACAGCTGGGGAGCTGCTACAAGCATTGTCTGTTAGCAACTTGCAGCCACCTTCTTCTTGGAAAATAACCCCTGACCAAATGGGAGTTACTTCATCCCGGAAGTGAAGCTCTTTCCCCTCATGCCTTCTAGCAGACTTCCATCAATGACTAATGTGGAGGGGTACAAAAGCTTGGCTTCCTTGCCTAAGTGGTAGCCAGCTCTGAGGAGCAATTCACGATCCTGAGCTTCCCTAGGGATCACACCGACGTGAGTCTCCAGCCAAAACCACATTTTTGCAGTTTTCTCTGGCCTATTTTGCATCCCCCATTCCCCTTCTCACCAGTAAACTCCCCCAGTAAATCACTTGAACAAGAATTCCTGTTTCAGCCTCTGCTTCTAGAGAGCCCCATATAAGATATAAACTATGGGTCACAGTGTTATCCCCAACCTGAGTATTGCTGCCAAACTACACCGCACCAGGCCTCGCCTCTGCAAGAACCCTCCCTGTCTCCCTCTTACCTACATCATCAAGCCAAGACTTCTCTTTGAGATTTTTAAGTTCCATGCTGTGCCTTTATTCAACCCACTCACCTCCTTGTTCTCTTTCCCTTACTTGCACCTTTCCTCTCAGTGGATGGGTTTCCTCCCTGGCCTCAGTTTGTAGTTGTCAAAAGAATTCCTGCCTTCCCTCCTTTCATCCCTTTTCTTCCTCCATTCTTCTGACTGACTCATCCCTCAATGCCTTCTCCATGAAGCTGGTCTCTTTCTTCTCTGAATATCTGTGGCCTTCTTTTCAGCAGCTCATAGGTTAGAACAGTGTTTCCCAGTGTGGATGGCATCTCTGATGACATGAGACATATAAGGCACTAAATAACCTTGAATAATAAGAAGAAAGGTATTTCCAAATTTAATCTCAGTCTTTTTTAATAGATGAATATTAACCCTGATCCTAACCTTAACTCACAATCTCAGTTTGGTTCTAGTATTTTCGTGGTTTGTTTAGCAGGCAAAGCATGAAACACCTTCTAATCTTCATTTTTAACACCAGCACCACTGCCAGCAACAACAGTCTTGGAGTCTCTGTATTTAACTGTCATTGAATACTATTAATATAGTTTTCTTTTAATTGTGTTTATTTTTGAGGCTTTCTTTTTTATTTGTGGCACATGGTAACTAGCTTTCTATTTTTGGCAATGCAATGACATTTCTTTTAAAAATAGATTTAATTAAAGAGTAATCTATAGAAATTTCAAGTGCATGATAGTGTATATATTTCTGGAAATATGGCACAAATTGTGAAAGTGGTATACAGCAGCTCAGCTTTGGGAAACGTGAGTCCTGTCTGCTTATCGATGTATTAATTTGTGGGTGTTACACTTGTCTCCCAAGTTGCTTGTTGATGCTTCGAAGGTAAGATATTTTTTCAGTTTGTTTGACTTTCATGTCGATGTTTTTGTATGGCCTTTACCTTGTATTTTTATTGTCTATATCAGCAAACACAAATCTGTGGATTTAATATGCACTCAATTCTTATCATTGATTGGTGTACTGATTATCTACGTTTTAGGTACCTCCTATTCCCCAGGCACTGTCATAGGTATATAGATAATGGGCTTAGAAGATAAATATGAGGTGATCCCAGCCCTTAACAAAGCTCACATAGTAGAGATAGACAGGAAGTAAAATGGATACTGTGATCTGTGCCACAAAAGAAGGAGTGGCCACTTCTCCCACAGGCAATGGGGGAGAAAATTGGTGAGGACTGGCTCTGTGGAGGTGCTTAGCTGGGTCTTCGAATATACACCGATGGCACTCACCACACAAGGCATGTAGGGAAGGGAGACATTTGGCTAGGAGTGCTCCTGGCAGAGGAAGCATCAGTGGTTGTGCATGTGTGGAGTTTGGTGTTGGGGAAGAGTCAGGGGAAAAGCAGGTGAGGCACTTAGGGTACAGAGGAGGCTCCAGAGGCAGGTGCGAGAGGGCCTGTGCTTTGGCTAGGGCATTGGGCCTTCCCCTGGTGGTAATGTGGAGCCACTGAAAGGTTTTACAAAGGGCATTAGCCATTGATCAGATTTGGGGCGTGAGGAAAATCATTTTAGTGGCCAAGAACCCACCTTTGCAAAGATCATGACAGGGAGAAAAGTCTAGCATGGCCAATTCCATCTTGCTCTGGCCTCCCTGGCTGGCTGCCCTCACTCATTCCTGGGCACAGGCCAAGCTAACCATGGGAGGAATTTAGTTTATAGTTTAATTTTAAAGCAAGAATAATAGTCCCTCCCTAAAACTACCTTTTTAAGACTGATGAAAGGCCAAGAGATAAGGATTATGGGAGGGCAGAACTATGAGTTCTGCTAAAGTGTAGGCATAGTTTTTCTGTAATCTCTTACTGCTCAGGGTCATGTGGCCAGAGATTTGTGACTTTCCCAGTTGCTCTTACAGATAACAGATAACAGTTGCAGATTGGTCTTTTAAGATGTTTTTAAAAAAAAAAGACTTTTGCATTCAGGCCACCAAATGACCCCAGCTGGACCTGCAACCCTCACCCAGATGGAGACTCAGTCTCCACAAGGACCATTTTCCATATTCCTGTGATTTCACCCCAAACTAATTGGCACCACCCATTCCCTAGCCCCTTGCCCACCAAATTATCCATAAAAACCCTAGCTTCTGAGTTTCTGGGGAGATTGATTTGAGTAAGAACTCCTGTCCTTCCACTTGGTGGCCTTGTGCTCATTAGACTCTTTCTTTATTGCAATAGGGCCTTCTCAGTGAATTGGGTTTATCTGTGCAAAAGGCAAGAAGAGCCTGTTGGGAGATTATAGCCATGTGGACAATGGGGTGGTCCTAGAGGCAGAAAGGCCAGTAAGGGGCTTGTTATCAAGGCATCCAGGAGTAGATGATGAAATGAGATAGTGGCAGGGGAGGCAGACAGGAGACCACAAATATGGAACTTGATAATTAATTTTTTTTCCTCTACCTCCCTTTATCCATCACTATGAAAATCTAACCAAGAGAGAGACACAGGTCATAATAATTGTGCCACTTTCCAGGATTTGGCACCACCAGCGTCTGCCTGGCTTGGGTGTGTGTTTACCGTTCTCAATCTGTATTTCCTTCTAGTGTCAGACCTCGAGGAAATTGCCAGTCACCTTTAATGCCACTTTCATTTTTTCCCCCTTTTCCTTCCCAGGTCAGGTAATAACATTCTCCGAGGAACTAAGCAGAGTGGCTGGCCTTGTTTCCCCCCTGACCTGCAGCCTCGCTGGCTGGTTGTCTTGCTTCTGGGAAACGGCCAGCCAGCCTGTTGCTCCTTGTGCCCCTCCCCCACCAGGCCGCTCACTCCCTTTGTAGTAGCCTCCTGTCAAAACCCATCTAGAGACTATTAATGAGGACGGGAAGAGACAGAGAAAAGAGGAAAACACCACAGTAAGATAAAAACAGATCAATAGTGGAGCTAAACAGAGCAAGAGGTTCTGAAAGCAATTCACGAGCTGTCAGCTTCTCAACAAACATAGGGTTTCTGATAATCTCAGATGGACACAAAAAGGAGAGATACGGACAAAAAGCCAGAGAAGCACATCAAGGGAAAGTAATCAGGAGGATTTACCCAGCCAGAACTCATCCTCCAGGTTCCCGAAGCCAACACGGTAATCAGCCCATTTCCGGAAAAAATCAGTTTGGCCATTCTGCCGCCTCTGAAATACCTATGAAGGAAAGAAAAAAACCCAAGGAGATGCTCAGGAAAATAAACTGTGATAAGTAAAATTGATATAACTGGGTTTTATATCTGCAACGACAAGGCTGTCCAAAGGAAGAACATTTCAGAGCAGAGCTCAGTATTTACACAGCAGTTTTTGTAGGAGACACTCAGAGCCCTTCTCTTGAAGTGTAGAGGCCTCTGATGAATAGGCTCCAGTGTGATGTTGACACTAATTTGCACCCCTGCAATGTAGAAAGGATTCAGAATACATATCAAGCCCCATAGTCAGGGGAAATAGGCTTGATTCTCAAATGAATCTTTTGCACTACAGAGTGCAGTAGAAAGCATTTCTCACCAAAAGAACAGGACCAACTTCAAATCAGCTAGTAACTGTCATCGTCCTATTGCAGGAAAAGTAATATTGCATATCATTCACTTTCTGAGCTGTTTAAGTGCTTATTTCATTTAACCTCCAATATATCAGCCTTGGCTTCAATTTCCAATTATGCTCTAAGAAGGAGACACAAATATGTCAGAAACATAAAAGAAAATGTCTCCCAATAGTAGCTGTTATGAGCACATCACCATTCAAAAACTACCGGTTTTGCACTGGGAAACATCCAGCACTGTTGGCAGAGCGAGAGAGGGAATCTGCAGAAGGGTGGAGGGGCTCGTTTTCCATCCTACAGCCATTCAGCTAATGCTGGGCTGCTTTAGGGCCAGGCGGTGGGAACTCCTGGCCACCCCTACAGGGCTGCATTAAGAGGTGGGGCCCTTTGGGAGGCTTCCCTTATTTTCCCTCTCTCTGTATTGTCCTATCAGGCATGGGAGGAGGGTGGTGACAGGAAACAGTGTCTCTGTTTTCCTGACCATGGTGTTCCCTGAAGGCTGTGACAGCTCTGGGGAAGAACCAGGGAGACCGCAGGAAGACTGGGGAAGGGGAATCAGCTATCCATGTTTGGCCCTCATCTGCCTTCCCATATGCAATCCTCAATTGGAAGTTTCTGATCATCTCTCTGTGGCGGTGATCACCTCCTCCTACAGAAAACACTTTTTAACTGATTTTTTGTTTGTTTGGTTGGTTTTTTGAGATGGAGTCTCACTTACTCTTTCACCCAGGCTGCAGTGCAGTGGCATGATCTCATCTCACCTCCCAGGTTCAAGTGATTCCTTTGCCTCAGCCTCCCAAGTAGCTGGGACTACAGTCATGCGCCACCATGCCCAACTAATTTTTGTATTTCTAGGAGAGATGGGTTTCACAATGTTGGCCAGGCTGGTTTCAAACTCCTGGCCTCAAGTGATCCACTCACCTTGGCCTCCTGAAGTGCTGGGATTATAGGCATGAGCCACTCTGCCCAGCACCTCCACTGCTTTGTTATAGATGCAGTTCTGAGCAGGGAAGATCCCGTGGGCACCCTCCTGCTTAACTGTCCTCACAGAAGGAGGAGGAGGAAAGGCAGTAATCCTGAGGGCCCTTCATGGGCCCAGGCCACTGCACTCTTGATATAGTTATTCCTTTCCCTGCCTGGCCAGACCTATGATTGGACTGCTGAATGAGGGCCTTGAGGGTAATGAGGAGCTCCATGTCAGGGGTGATAAAAGGATGGCCAGAAGGATGGTAAAGTTGGCTTGGCAGGTGCTGAGCTAGGTTCACTAGAACACTGAGGATGCTTCCAAGAAAGGAGAGCAGCTGCCTGTACTTACAATCCAGCCGCCCCCGTCAGTGGTCATATCGCAGTACACTTGTAACTTTTGGCTCAGCTCCCCATTGAGGAAGATGGTGTAAACCCCACTCAGAGTGTCTCCATTCATCAAATGCTGGGCACAGTCTTGAGGATGAGAAAACACCCGGCCCCCTGCAAGGAAAAAAGACAATTTCCAGAAAGGATCCTTTCTCCCACTGTGGATCAAAGCTCCTTGGATCACAGAAGGTCTTAGTGAGTCTCCTGGTACATCATCAACAGCTCTAAGAAATCCTCAGCTGAGCTCAGGGTGTGGGTGTGGGGACTCGGCATCATCTTGCACTTCCCCTCCTCAACTGATGTTAGACTTAGCAGACAACAGACAGCTTCATGGGATCTGAGGACCAAACGGCAGGACCAAAAGGCGGGGTTCATGGTGTAGCTCCTCCAGTTACCTATTCATCTGACTTTAAGTAAATCAGTTTGGCATCAGTTTTCTTATCAGTAAAATGGGGATAATAAAACTCTCCCCCTCGAAGAGCAAAGATGTGTTAATGCAGCTAGTGATTGGTTACTCAGGCAATGATTACAGACGCATGGGCCAAAATACATCAGTGTAGGTGGACACCTTTTGAAAGGATGAGAGGCATCTAAGCAAAGCTTTCTGTTTTCTTTACAGTAGCCATTAAGGAATGCCCGAACAAGCTCGGCATTAGCAAGAAGATGAATTATCTATTCCTTGTACAAAATAATCTCCTGATTGGACTAAACAATCAAGTGGCTATGTTTTACAGTTCAGTTTAAGTTTAAGGAGAGGGCAGGGGAAGTAAATTGCAGTTCATCTTTCAGAGAGAACAGCCCAATTTGTAGAACAGTATCTAATTAGCTGAAAGAAGAGCTTAAATTGTGTCTTGAAGAGCTTAGCTTCAGGGCAAATTTTAATGCTGAGCAGGCAAGCCGAGAAGTAGAAAGCCCACCGGAGGAGCTTTTCTGGACTGCAGGAGCTGCTAGAGCAAGCTAAAGGCAGAGCTTGCTGTGTAGGGAAGGGTGGTGTGGGTTCTCTGTAAACAGAATTATCTCCTGGGTTAACAAAGAGCATGCCATGATTCATAGGGTTCTGCACCCTTAACTGTTGCAGTCAGGAAGAGAGGCTGGGGAGGGACCACATGTGTCAGTCATTGCAGTGTTCCCTAATGGCAGATCTAGTGCACTACAGGTGTGGCATAGGGTCTGCTGGTGGGTCAGAGTAAGTCACAGCACAAAGGCACCCAAGAATGGCGACATAGCAACCTCACTGAAAGCCCTGGTCATCTCAGACCCCATCATAGATCACCAGGGAAGCTTCCTGTGTCAGGAAGAGGTGGTTGGAGCCGGTTTATGCAAGTCCCCCCTGGAGAGGTATTAATTGCCCCTGCACCAGGACTGCCCTTCAGCTTGCTGTCACACCCCGGTTGAGGGCATACCCACCTAATGTAGTTTAGAATAAAGGCAATGCAAAGGCGTATCTTACAAGCAAAGGCAATGCCTTTGTTCTAAAGGCAAGGGTTATACCAGGGAATGACAATATATTTCTGTAGAACTTGTCCTTTACTGAGTGTTTTTATTTCCATTTAATTCTTGCAAGAAACTTGAGGGGATGGCAGATTGGTATAGATATACTTATTTTACAGAGAAGGAAACTGCACTCAGAAAGATTACATGACTCATATTGCCAGAACTCACATTTTCAGATGGGTTAAGTGCTCTTTGCACTCTCCTAAAGCAGGAAATGTAATGTATGATAGAATTTACTGAAGGACGACATCTATGCATACAGCAAAGGACTAATTAATACCTTTATTTACCTTATAAGCAAACACCCCCAAAGGTTAAAGATCTCAACAAGTTCTGTGTTCAAATCAATTATCCATACCCTCTGAAACTGATTTCCTTTATAGCTACAGAAAAGTTAACTGTCATCTGCAGCATGTCCTAGAACTCTTCGCAGTTCCTGATCCCATCTACCTCTAGAGGCTATAGTTATATTTCAGGAGACAGGTGTGAGTTGTCCCTGTTCCCTCTCCCTGCTGCTTTGGGAGCACTGCTATTATCTCCTGGCTTCCCGGTTATTCTTGACCTGGCCTCTGGAACAACTAGTCTGTCTGCCTTTCTTTCTCCTCTTTCTTCTCGCTGTTTGAGTTTCTCATTTTAGAAGATCAGCATTTATTGTCCTTGGTCTTCAGTTTACTCCTAAGGTATGCACTAATAGCCCTTTTTCCTGAAGAAGGGTTTCTTCATTAAATAAACTCAGCTTCTTAAAGGAGCCAGACCCCAAATTGCTTTCCAATATCCAATGTGCCCCCAACAAAACATCTCCCCACAAATCTCAAAATGACAGTCTCATACAAATACACATATAAATCCAAACATCCGAACGGGGAAAGAAATGATCGCACAGAGGCTTCTTCATGTTGATGATGTAGGTTGATCTAATATTTATATTATAGGTACTTTTTACAGGCTCAAACATATTAGTTGCTTTAAAGCTAGACCTACACACGAATCAGTAAACTGAGATGACTTGGAGAAGGGGAGTTTTGAATACCTGAATGGCTATCATATAGAAGATGGATTCATTTTTTTAAAGTTAGAAAATAAGAATAAAATTAGCTTAAGAAAAAAGTGTTTTCAAAGCAGTGCCAAGAGATTGGATGGGATAAATGTCCCAGATTACGGCCTGGGAGAGGAAGGACCATGCTTCCTTCCTTCCAGGCGGGCAATGAGCTGGTTGGTGGAGGGCTCTCCAGGTGTGTGTGAGGCAATGATGCATGCATGGCTCTTGCCTTCCCCTTGACAGATTGCAAGGCCATTTGGTTGTTTATAGGTTCCATTCACTGTGATGTAGTCTGTGGCATTAATGTAAAGACAATCAGCAAGCATTTGCTCACACAGACTATCAAGAGCAGCAACCTGGAATTTTCACATCTTTGGAACTTGGAGAAGACACTGCATTTACAGCAAAATCATTCCTTTTCAACCAGCTCCAGCCTGCAACTCTAGTCCTTGATCAAATTATTATTCCTTTTTTGCAGACAAGAGAAAGCAGAGGCTCACTAATAGTTCTCAGACTGGGGCCTTTTAAAATTCAGATTCCTGTGTTCCATAGAAGATCCAATGAATCGGAATATCAGAGGGTGGTGCAGGGAATCAGTGTTTTACTGAAGCTTCTCAGACAAGTCTGAAGACCTGCTGGATTTGAATCCACTATTTGTCTGGCACATTTTCCTCTTCTCTAGAGGCCAAGAGGTGGAACTGGTAAACTGAGCAGTGCCTCACAGGAGCCCTGTGGTCTGTGTCCTCTGCTCAGATCCCTGTGGGTGGGTGGATAAATACTGTAGATTGAATCTCTGTCTCTCTCTGTCTCCCACTCTCCCCCTTTCCTCCTCTTTCCCTTTCCGGTAGGTATGTCTTGAGTGGGCTGGTTCCAAGAATTAGATTGAGTGCGATAGGAAGGAGAGGAAATAAGAGTCTGTGTTTACCCTTGAGTCTAAGCTTTGTGTTCCAGTTTTTATGGTTCTGCTCTGCTTTGGGGGTTATTGGACTTCGGTGTAGGTAATAATAAAGAACACACTGGTTCCTGTTATGCTGTATTCAGCATGAATGTACTGGGGTTTCATACATTTTGGAGACTGTCAGGGCAAATTTCAGGCATTCCTAGCTCTCAGGATGTCACACCATTTGATATTATCAGAAACTTGTCTTTAACCCCAACATATATCAGCCCAGTAACTTTTCCCAAAGCAAAAACCTGAAGACCAAGAGCAAAACTGGAAGGTTTCTCTTCCTTTCAGTGCAATAACTGGAGCCTGGACCGATGAAGAATTTTTTGTTTAATTTTTATTTATGTTTTTAGCATAGGCTATGGTGATTACCAAGTTAAGAGAAAAGCCACAACAAGTGTTCAGTACCCTGAAACGTCTCAGGATAAAGTGTTGCTAGATGTCATTGTGAGATCAACAGGACCGGGGCATTCACCGGAAGAATTGCTTGGAAATTGGTTTGTGCTGGGCAGTGGAGGCTGAATGCTGAGTGGAGTGGAGCAAGCTACGTGACATGCAGTGCAGTCAGGGGACCATCGCTGCAGGGACAGACTTTCTCTGTCGTGGCCATGCCCCTTACTTGTTTTGGATTCTTGGGGGTGCCTTTAAAATAATCAGCTTTAATAGCCCTGGCAAGTGTCTGTCCACTTTTCTGGCCTCAGCATCAGGACTGAAGCCTCAATGTCAGCATTTGTCTCTAAAAACGGGGCAGGTTTCTCGGTGAGTGCAGAACCCAGTGTTGCCCCATAGAAGCGCAGGCGGCCAACTCTGGCTATCAGCACTTAGATTTGTTTTCCCAGAATCTGGTTTGTGGTGGACTCTCTCGTTAGAATCAATGGCCCACGTCTGCAGAGTAGCTGGCTAGACTGTCATGGGCAGTCTGAGTCTGAGGACAGGGCAAAGCTACCTGCTCAGCGCACATGGGCTGTCAGAGCTGCCACTTGGCCTTCTCACAGTGTCTTCCAGTATGTTTACCTGTTTACACTCTTATTAATTCAACAGACATATAATGGAGGGTCTGCTGGGCTAAAAGATGGGAATATAAATAAGGAAAAGACACAGTCACACCCTTTCAGGTTGCTCACGCTGTGGTGGAAGAAACAATATAACTTTGAGCTTTAAGTGCTCTGGGAAAGAGAGAGACATTGGGGGCTGGCAAAACCTGGATGTGGGTGTGCAATGATGCCCAGCTAGGGGCCTGGGACAGGGCAGAGTGGCAACTGCTAATCAGAAAGTTATTTTAGGAACTGACATAGATGCTGGCCACAAATTGGTGGAAGAAGGGTGTTCCAGGCCTCTGCACAAGCATGGCCCTGTTGGGAAACTGAAGGTTAGCAGGAGACAGAGCAGGAATCCGGTGGGATGGAGGAGAGAGAGCCCTGGGGAGGTAAGTAGGGGGATCATGTCATTTATGGAGGCAGTTGGAGAAAGAGTCTATTGGTGGACTTTAAGCTCAACTTGTTAGAAAGAACATTCTCACTGCAGTGTGGAGAATGAATAAGATGGTGGTAAGCCTGGAGGCAGAACCCCATTCAGGATATAGTAGTGGGAACCCAGGAGGAGAGTGACAGTAGCCTGTAAAGAAGTAACAGAGTGAGTGGAGAATTGACTGAACAAGACAGCTTTGACGCGTTCACCCTAAACAGAGTTCCCGAAGGTCCTCGGGCTCTGCAGACCACCTGCCTTCTACCCAAGGGCAACTGCAACAGACATTCAAATCTGCCCTTCACAGGTCAGCTGAAGGCATTGTAGTACTAGAGAAATATTCTGACATCACTTGTCTTATTATTCCTTGGATCCACTTCTCAGAAGACTCAATTTCATGGCAGATTAGGTTGATCACAGACTGGCAGTTGCCAGCCTGGCCCCTCTCTGTGGCTCTTGATTCAACATGGCCAGGGAGGGCTGGGTCCTGATGATGCCTCCTACTGGTCTCCCTTTGCCATTCTGGTTCCACCTGTATTCATTCTCCACACTTTATCCAGAGTGACCTTTTGTATCATGTGAATGGTGATCTGATCTCTTCCTATGTCTTACTTGCCAAACACCCTTCAGTGGCTGCTTTATTGCAATTAGAATAAAATCCAGAATCCCTACCATGGCCTGCAAAGCCCTGTATGCTCTGTCTCTGTCATGCACTTCTCCCCACTGTCACTATTCTTTAGCCTCACTGGCTTTCTTTTAACAGATAGAAAAGGCCAAACTTACTCTTCCCTAGGCCTGAAATTCTCTTCTTTGTGGATGCACTCTAATTATTCAAATCTTGGCTCACATATCTTAGCTAAAGAGAAGCTTGTTCTGACCACCCGAGTTGAGACCAGGGTCTGGGATGGGGGAGGAAGTGGCAAGTGATAATCAGGAAAGACTTCCCACTCTAGGTGCTGTCCTGGAAGTCAGCTTTTCATACTGTCTGTTTATTTACTTATTGTTGGTCAGTTCTCATTGGCTCATCTCCTTGAATATAAGTTCCATGGGAGTATAATCATCTGGCTTGCTTTATTCATCACTCAGCATTTAGAAAAGTGTCTGACCCAAAGAAGGTGCTCAGTCAGTATTTGTTGAATGTAGGATGCCATGTGAGCACTATAGCCTATCCCTCCCCTATGGTTATGAAAAGGAAAGTTAAAATTAGATATTCTGAAAACATTTGGGACAACACAATTTAAAATAGGCCAGATGAAGTTCTGTATGTAGTAATATGTAAGGTCTTGCTGTAACATTCACAATGTCACCTTCAACCTATGGTGTTACTGGAAGGCAGACCTCGAGTATGAGATGTTCAGGTTCTTGGCGTTTTTGAACAAAGAATTGGACAAAACGCACAAGCAAAGTAACGAAGGAACAAAACACAGGAATGAAGCAGAGAAAGCCGGGATTTATTAAAGCCAGGAAGCACTCCACAGGGTGGGAGTGGGCCTGGGCAAGCAGCTCAGGGGCCCATTACAAAGTTTTCCAGGTTTTAAGGACTCCTTTTGAGGTCTCTATCAGCTACTCCTTATCTGGATGAAGGATTTGGTCTGTGGCTAATTAAAGGCTGGGGTGAATTGGATGCAGATGAAAGGATGGGCGGTGCTTAGGGTAGCCAATCCAAGATACTTTCCCATTCCAGCTGAGACGTGGCAGAAGGGGGAGGGTTAAACCTTTGTTACTGGGCCTGGGGAGATGGGGTTTTTCCTTTGGAAGTTGACATTAATTGGCCTTAGGGTCCCTGCCTCCATACCTAGGTGTTTCCCTTTCGATCCAGCTTTGGGAAGTCAGCAGGAACTGGTCTTAGATTCCCTGCCTCCAGACCCTATTCTCCTGCCTCAACAGTAGGTTTTACTATTGCTTGGCAAGATTCACTGCCTCCCTCTGGGGGATCACATGTCCCCGTCCTATTGAATAGTACAAACAATTCTATGTAGATCAATTCAGTAACTTAGATGACATAGACCATTTTTTTTGGAAAATTACTACATCCCAAAAGTTGTGCAAGATAAAATGAAAAGATAATCTGAATGTATGAAACTATTTTTATAAATTGTTTGTGCTTCAAATCTCTAGAAAAAGAATCTCCAGGCCTAGATAGCTTCACTGGTGAATTCAAAGAATAAATATCACCAATTTTATACACTGTCTTCCTGGAAATAGAACAAGAGGGAACATGGCACAACTCATTCATTGCAGCCAGCATTATTCTGATAAAAAAATACAAACAAGACCAGCCTGGCTAACACAGTGAAACCCTGTCTTTATTAAAAATACAAATATACAATGAGGCACCACAAGCCAATGCAGAACAGATGGATTATTTCACAAATGATGTTAGGAGAACTGGTCCACTATAGAAAGAAAAATGAAACTGTATCCTCAACTAATACCACTATAAAATAGACTAAATAGAAAGAAATAAATCTAGAAAGTGAATAGCAGAACGTATTGAAGAATACCTTTTGGCCAACAGGCAGAGAAAGACTTCTTAAAAGAGGTTTCAAAAACTCAAATAATAGCTAATATTGAGTACAGGAACCTGACAGAAAATGGACAAATTATGTGAGCAGGGAATTTAGAGGAAAAGAGCACTGAAAAGACTAACAAACATGTGAAGAGATGTTGAAACTCCAACTCATTATTAAAGACATTCAACTAGAGGGCCGGGCACAGTGGCTCACGCCTGTAATCCCAGCACTTTGGGAGGCCGAGGTGGGTGGATCACGAGGTCAAGAGATCGAGACCATCCTGGTCAACATGGTAAAACCCCATCTCTACTAAAAATACAAAAAATTAGCTGGGCATGGTGGCGTGTGCCTGTAATCCCAACTACTCAGGAGGCTGAGGCAGGAGAATTGCCTGAACCCAGGAGGCGGAGGTTGCGGTGAGCCGAGATCGCACCATTGCACTCCAGCCTGGGTAACAAGAGACAAACTCCGTCTCAAAAAAAAAAAAAAAAAAAGACATTCAACTAGAAAAATGAGGTATCAATGCTCTATGAGATTATTAAAAATTACAAAGCTGGGCCATGTCAAGGCATCTGGAATGATGCACATCGTTAGGAAACAGAAGTTTCCATGCACTGTTTGAGGGAGTGAGGACAGTACAAACACGTGAAAGAGCAGCACATAGACTATGGAAACACTTCCCCTATGACCCAGCAATTCCTATTCTGGGTATATATTTCAGAAGGCATTACCTCAGTGACCCATAAGTGGACATGTACAAAGTATTTATTGCAGCACCATTTGTGGTGGTGGGAGGTTGGAGACAATCTGATGTCCATTTTTGCGAGAACGGAGAGGTAAAATGTGATGGGTGCACATCATGCAGTATTTCACAAGTGGAAGCAAAAGACTATGTATATGCATGACAACATGGATGGGTCTGTAAAACAGTGCTGAGCAAAAACAGAATAGGGAATGAACTATGTAATCTGATACCATTTACATGTATTTAAAATATTTATACTCTAATTTTACAAGAATACATTTTTCAAAAATACATACAAACAGAAGGGCACAAATATAATACATCAGAATGCTTGCCTAATGGACGGTGGAAGAGAAGAGTGTAAAAGGAAATAAATGAGTAAATACAGACTGAGACTTGGAGATTAACATGGGTGATATGTGATACACTGTGAGTGCGATTAATTGAGACCACTGATCTGACACCTATCCTTCTATTAATTTTGCACGTACATGGAAATGGTTTGTTCAAATGGGATCATTAGTGCCCTACTTCCTTCTTCACAGCCAGGTTGCTGCCCACCCCACCCCTCCTCCCAGCTAAATAAGAAGGTAGACTTCTTTTAGGGGTTTGCTTGTCTTAATAAAGCAAGAACTCAAGCTGTTTCTAAATAGCAGAGCAGAGAGAAGCCCCATCGCCTCCCCACTTTGGTGAAAAGGATGTGTGGCATATCTGAGGGTAGATAGCCATGGATAGTGATCATAAGGCTTTCCTTTCTAGCTAGAATACCTGTCTGATAAGTATGTGAATTTCTATGATCCACCACGTATTGTCCCAGAGTATAGTGTGTGCCAATCTTCATTAATCTTCACAACCTCAAAAGCTGAAGCTTGTGTTAGATTCCAAAGTTTTTTTAAAAAGCCCCACAGAGCAGCTCAGTCTGGATGTGGGAGGGCAGGGACTGGAGCAAAGGTAATAAAAGGAAACTTCTTATTACCCATCTCTGGGTACCTCTGCAAATGATTGTCTTCGCTTAACCTCAAGGTCAAGACAACCTATTTTATAGTGCTCACTGTCTCTTAGGATAAGCTTTAGCGAGAACCTTGTTTGCTTTTTATAGTATTAAAAGAGACAATGAAACTGCCTCTCAGACAATCATTTCACCAAGTCCTGGCTGCTCTGTGGGGAATATTTGTTTTCTCATTTATATTCATATCTCTAAAAGACAAGTAGACCTTGGATAAAATTTCAGGCGACAGTAAATTATAAATAATATATCCACATTTTTTCTCTTCCATACTACTTGTATTTAATTCCCTCTAGATTTTTGTGCAAACACTAGAGACAAGAGGACAGGAAGCTATTAACATGATGGAAAGAATGAAACGGACTTACGTTCTGTGGCAGAAACACAACAAGGGAAGACATTTTGATCAAAGGAGGTTTTTGAGAGTTTGTGAGTACCAGTTCTTTTCTCTTTTTTTTTTTTTAAGTTTTATTATTATTTTTTGACATCTTAACTCTTTTCGAGGCCATCAGGTGGCATCTTGCTTAAAATGAACCACTTATCTTGGTCCACTCAGGACAAGGTGAGGGTTTATCAGTGATAGAGGCAACTTTGGGGCCAAACTTTCATCTCTGTTGTTCCATCACAGAAGGCATAGGAAACACTCAGAATGAGGAGCTGAGATCAGCCCACGCTAAGAGTAGGATACTGCTAAGTGGAAAACTCAGGAACTGTCAATGAAATTGGAAGAGATGCTAATTGCTAAAAAGAAATTAGCCTCTAAGTCCATTAGCCCTGGCTTGCTATCACCTGGGAGGCTTCCCGTGTTTCTCAGACTTCTTTCTTAGCAAGAGTAATTTGTGCCTGTGGGGTCCTGACGGGCAGCACTCCGGTCTTGCATGTAAGTGAAGATACGCTGCTCTTCAATTTTGCTTTTCCTTCCTGGTAACGTCCCCATTCCCTGCCTCCCCCCTCAAGTTTGTAAGCTGATACCCTTGTATTCTCTTCCTTCTTAATAAAATTTGCTCTTGGGCAGGGGTAGAAAACTTTGGGGTAGAGCGGTGGCACAGGCAATGAGACCTCATTAACATTAACATGCAAATGACTATGTAGCCTAGTGGAATTTATTCAGGGAAATTTGCATTGAGGTGGCAGACAGAGCCTGAAATTAGAGGGAATTTGGGCATTGTACTCCTGAAGGTTATACCTCTTTGCCTGTGCCATCCCTACGAAGGGTATTAAAAATGTCCTTAGGCTTTGTTTTTCCAGAGTCCCCTCTTCTGTGCTCTGCAGCTGAGATTTGACTATTCAGTTTAACCACTATCTATTGTGTCTGCTATGTGCCAGGCTTTGTGCAGGGCACTTCCACATGCATGGTTTCTGTCCAAGAATCTTCCATTCTGCAACCAGTCATTTCAGTAGGTTACGATAAATCTCCAAGACAAAGCTAGCAGAGTTTGGTATGCATCAGTGACTTACACTTAAATCTGAGCTTTCCAGTAAAACTGCAAAAGCTTCCAAACACAGACATATCTTTGCCATGTACCACGGAAGTGATAATACGGACTCTACATAGAGCAGCTCAGTCAGTAGCTACACTCACTGCATAGGAAATTGAGCTCTTCGGCTTTCTCCTTCCTGAGTTGGTATTGGTCATGTCCCAAGAGCCTGGTGTCAACTAGAGTCTTGTAAAAACCTATACACAACCTAAATACATCCTGATAGCTCCCTGTACTGTCCACCAAACAAAGATACTATTCTGCCTCCTCTCCAGATTTCCATGTGCTGTTAATCTTCTGCTTATTTGATCCTAGTGAGGCCCCAGCTGAATATGGGATCCCAGATCCAAAAAGTTCCACACCCCTTGGCGCAGCTGCATCTAAGAGAGGGCAGTGAGGGGCACAGAAGCTGGTTTACTTTTACAGCCCAGGCGGGTCTGGAGCGAGGCACAGCTGTAAGATGCCACAGAGACTTCAGGCACCTTGTCATATTGCTCACAACTGCTAGCTGTGGCATCACCAGAGTGGGAATTAAAAGCCCATACTACACAGAGCAAACACTGAAGCCCATGCATTTTGGGGATAAAATGACTAATTAAGACTAATAAATATGCAAATTGGGAGCTCGGTTTAAGTGTCTGTCATCTGTGTCCTTTTAATAGAAAAGAAATTCTTAATTCAATGGAAAGCTCCAACCCGTGGGTCTTTAAGTGGTGGCGTGCAAAAGAGGACCATGGAGGCCTCTTTAATGAACCTGTGAATGGGCAAGGAAGGGCTTAACAAGAAGAAGCTAACACCTTAGTTCTGAGATCAGACACCGTTGAAAGAGCACAGAGGGGAGCATAATTGACTCCAGCCCCATAAAAGAGATCAAGCATGTTCTAAGTTCCACTTGGTATAGATACATCTTGGATTCATGTCTTGTTTGTGTGCCCAAGGTTTATTTTTATGTTTTTAATTAAAACATTTGTTTTTCTGATTAATGTGCTCCTTAAAGACACTTAGTGTGGTATTGAGAAGCGCAAAAAGAAGGGAGAAGAGGACTCGTTCACAATCTCAACACTCTGTAGAACCACTGGGACATTTTATCGTATCTGATCAGTGTCTTTCTTTGTCATTTAGAAGGAGTGCAGTGGGGAAGACACCTGGTGGGGCTGGGGGACTTTCTCTAACCTCTCTGGGGATGGAGGACAAAGCTCTGGGGCACAGACAGAAATCCAGTCATTCTGGTGCTCTGAGATGGCAGGCAGAATGTGGTTGAGTATATGGGACATGCTCGGGTTTGCCTCAAATGTATGCAAGCCCACACACCCACAATGTGGGGCAGGGAGAGAATTCAAAGTCAGGGCTGAGGAGCCTCACATTACAGATGGTAGAGTGGCACTGTGGGAGGGGTAGAAATGTTAATGGCACAGACCCCAGAGCTGAACCATCTGGGGTCAAATTCCAGCTCCCCCACTTAAGAACTATGGGATCTTGGGTGAGTTACCTCACCTCTCTGTGGCCCAGTTTCCTCATTTGTAAAACAGAGATGATAGTGCATAGCATGTAGGTTGTTGTGAAGATTACAGTAGATAATACATGTAACGCAGCTAAACAGTGCTTGGCAAATAACTCTTGAAACTCAGATATTAGGTTATTTCCTGTTAGGACTTTTTGTTTAATCCTTTAACAGCATTTTTCAGGTATCTTTTGCTGACTTAAGGAGGGAAGGCAGCAGGAACAGCTGCATTTAGCAGTAGAAGACCTGGGTTCAAGTTCTGACCCAGATATTTACTAGCCATATAAGTCTTTGATTTTCATCCACCTTGGTTTCATCATCTGTGAAACGGGGATTATAAGGACTTCCCGACTGGTTGTTACAAGAACGGAGTGAGACCATAGGAATGCAGAAGAGCTTTGTGTATGGAGAAGAGCTGCAGGTTTAATGTTGAGGGTTTACTATGTCTGCTTTTGCTAAATGAGTCTCTGATGACAGGTAGAAAAGGAAGGAGGAAGAGAAGGATGAAGTTTGCTGGAAAAACACTTGCAGAAAATCTGAACTGGAAGGAACCTCATGTCTTTTTATTTTTATTTATTTATTTGTTGGAGACAGAGTCTCACTTTTTCACCTGGGCTGGAGTGCAGTGGCATGATCTTGGCTCACTGCAACCTTTGTCTCTGGGGTTCAAGTGATTCTCCTGCCTTAGCCTCCTGAGTAGCTGGGATTATAGGCATGTACACAACACCCAACTAATTTTTGTATTTTTAGTAGGGACAGGATTTTACCATGTTGGCCAGGCTGGTCTCAAACTACTGACTTCAGATGATCCACCCACCTTGGCCTCCTGAAGTGCTGGGATTACAGGCATGAGCCACCGTGCCCAGCCAGAACTTGATGTTTTTACTTGGTGCATTTAGTTGGTCTGGGTGAACCAGGAATTTGTGCTGCTGGTTCCTGTGGTTGCCTTGTTAGTGAGAGGTTTCCTGGCAGGGACTTGGAAAGGGGAAAGGAAGGAGGAGGCAATTGAGCTTTTTAAATAAGCTGCTCCCAGGGCAAGTCTCAGCAGAGGCTGCTCAGGAGCCAAACCTCAGGAAGTAGAGAAGAAGGCATGAGATGGCCATGCTCCCTCACCTGTAGTGAAGGTGGTGGAGGTGATGCTGCTCCACGCAGTGTCCTGTGCTGCCTGCAGGAGCACCATGTAGTCTGTGTTCTCCAACAGGCCCTCCAGTCGAATCCAGGTGTCTTCTGCATCCACAATCAGCTCCTGTATAATGAGCCAAAGGAAGGGTGGTGGAAGGGAGCAACTGGCTTGCAATTTGGGAAAGTAGGGAAGGGCAATTCTATGGCCAGCTAGGTCACTATTGCAGTGGCCAAATCCTTTGGCCAGCTAGGTCGCTATTGCATTGGCCATTGTCATCCTCTCCATCCCACAGTAAGGAGATAACTGCACCAATAAGCAGAGAGGAGAGCTCTCATGTGAAATCAGTCCAGCTCCTATCTCAGGAATGCACATTGGGATACATTTAAACACCTGGATTATTGAATCTAGAAGTTTTCAGATTGCACTGGGCTTGCTTGAGAGCAGAGAGAGAGCCAAGGAAGTGGGATCCAAGGCCTCCTTATTTCTATAAAGCAGACTAACTCGGTTGAAATGTATTCTATGTTTTTGATTTCTGCATATGAGTTCCCTTTAAAAAGAGGTTCCTTTGCTAACAAAAACTTGCAAATCAGTGTTCTGGATGACCTGTTTCAACTGATGAAATAAAACAAAAATTTGTTGTTTCTTTACTGCTGGCTACACAGATAACACCTTTATAATGCTTATCAAGAGGCATAAAAGTCTATTGAATTTGGTATCCAGCTCATGTTTGCTCAGCCCTGTTGGTGAAAAATTATTCCAATACCATGTACTTGGGAGTTTCCAATGTGCTTTGTGTCATTGTATTGGAAGCACCAGCACTACCCAGTGAAGTTGCAGGGGTAGAGACCCTCATTAGCTGGAGAAGAAAGCAAGCCTTGAAGAGGTTTAGCTCTTTGCCTCAATTTACGTAGAGTAATAGCAGAGCTAGGACTATCATCAAAATCTTCCGGCTTGCAGACTAGGGCTCTCTCCTCAACAGCAGGCTGTGTTTCCTTGATGGGAAGCTGATTGGTTCCCTGTGGTTTGCTTCCTTCCCCCTCCCTCCACTGCCTCCTGGTCACTCCACTAGTCAGTTTCCACATGGCCTCACTTGGGAGAAATGGTCTTTTCCCTTTCCAGCAAAACCTCACCTTGCGGCTTCCATCAGTAGATTTGTAAGTCAAGACATAATTTTCAATCTCTGCCCTGGGAGGCTGCCAGGAGATCAGGGCACTTTGTCTGGTGACTTCACTGGCTGTCAGGTTTGCCGGAGGGTCCAGGACTGCAAAGAGGAGAAAGTGCCAAGGCATGCCTGCCTCTCCAGCTCCTCCCCCTGCTTGATTTCAGGCATGGGTATCTATTTGCCCACCTCTCTTGTCTCAGGGTTGCTTACATGCTGATCCTCATTCTGGCTTGGACAGGACCATAAAGGGTGCTCTTGGGTCAGAAGATAATCATTCAGTGCCACAATCATTCTTGTAGCTACTTCCCCTTCCCTCACAGGGCCTCTAGGTTTGGATGTGGTATCTTCCAAACTGACCCTGTATCCTGAAACCCTGATGTCTGCAAGTTCACTTGTGAACTTCTAATGTTTCCACATGGGACCTTTGTCTACTTCCTACTCAGTAGCTCTCTCCTAGATATCTAGCCTTTTAATATCCATCAGACTTGGCTGGGGCAGATGCATTCCGAGTAAAGACCTCACTTGGCCTGGTTCTTCTGCTGTCACCCAGGGTGAGAGCAGGAAACAGTGTCTGCTGGCCAAAAGTTGTAGCTCAGTTTCATTGAATTTGGGCTGTAGTCAGTTCAAATAAGAACAGCTCATAGCTGCTCTGTCCAAAGCCTATAGGTGATAATCTAGTCCACCACAAGAAAACTAATCATTTTTAGAATCCACAAAAGTCCCCAGGGATATGGGGTAGGTAGATGACCATGTACTCACGAGTAGAAAAGTTGGTGCTGATAGTGCCACTGGTGAGAGGCCCATTGGTGGCATACATGGTGGCGGTATAGTGGGTACTAGGAAGCAGGTCAACAAGCTGGAATTCCTCACTGACTCCATCAACCAGGATGGTCTCTCCAGCAACTGAAATCAGATGAATATGAATAAGGCTACTCAGTTTAGGAAAGATCTACCAAATCCAAAGGTGTTTCACATGGATTTACTCATAGAGAATTTTGGAAAAAGTTTTTTAGAGGTTATCTAGCTTGGTGTGTTATTCCATGCAAGGATTCCCCACTCATCTCTTTTTGCATCTTAATTGAAAAAAAGTGTTCTATGTACAGGTCAGATTCTCTATAACTTCTATTTGGGTCTCTGGAGTTATAAAGGATAAATCTAATCCTTTGTCTACATGACCTCTTCCTCTCCACCGCCTTTCCTAATCAAGTTCTCTCTCCACTAGACTGAGAAAATTCGGCCCCCACTTCCCATCACAGTTATGAGACAATTTTAAAACCTTCACAATCCTGTCTGCTTTTCTTTGAACAAATAACAGTTTATCAATGTCCCTGGTAAAGTGTAAAACTCAGAGAACTGAGAACAATAATTGAAAGGTACTGACCAATGAAATAAACAGGGTCAGTCTGTGCTCATGTGATTTATACTAGTTTGTTAGGTTTTGGGAATGCCATGTGATATTGTTGCCATATGCCAAAATTATTGCTAATCAAAGGCTTTCTTTGTACCACTCCCCCTACCTCCCAGGCCAATTTTGTTAGTTGATTTTTTGTGCCCATGGCAGAACTTTGCATTTATTTCTATTGCATTTTGCTTTATTGATTGCATTTTGGGCCACTGTTTTTAGTTTATTCAAATATTTTTGAACTTGGATTCTATTGACCACAATATTGTTTTATACACAAATTTGGTAAGCATGTCTTCTCTGAATTCATTCAAGCTGTTGATAAAACTGTTCATTAGTTCAGGCCAACTCCTCTGTTGGAAAATTAGAATACTTTGAAATTATTTAGTATTTAACAAAGTTTACTAGGCACATTTTCATATTAGGTAGGGCCTTGAGGTTTCAGGTTTATTGTGGTCTAAAGGCATAGAAACAAGTTAAAATTCAAACTAACACTTAATGCTTTGGAAGAACATATGTAAGGACGTTATCTTTTCAGTGTCCCCCTTTGCACATCTTGCCATTTATCAATGCTTCAGCTATGTGAAACTATGGCAGTTCTTTAGACTGCTCACACTCCCACATCTCTGCAAATGCACAGTCTGCTATTTTTCTTGAAATTCCCTTTCTTCTCCTCCTCTTCTTTCACTTTATCTAAGACTTTTCATCTTTCTTTCCCTCCACACCTTGACCCCAATCATAGTAGCCCATTGAACAAGGCCCATGGTGTTCTGTGCCTGCCTATAGCATACACGCTCACATTAAGTTATAACTATTTACTTCTCTGCAACATCATTAGAAGTAAGTTCCATAAAGATGAGAACTCAGTTATTGTTTATGAATCCTTATAGCTTTATAGAGTGTATGGCACATGGGAGGGCATCAGAAGTATTTGTTGAATGAATGGAAGTTCATTGCTTTGGTGGAGCTGTGTGTTTTGTGTCTGTGAGCATATGTGTCTGACCGCCTTTAGGGAAGCTTTGACAGAGATAGGGCTGAAACCCTGAAAGAAACAGCATATGTAAATGCATGGAGGCTTGAGAAAGCATGGTGATAGTTAAAAAATGGAGAATCATAGTACGCAAGGAGGGATGGCAGGAATTGACATGGATTGTGCATGCACACAGAGGGGTTAGGACATATCCATAGTAATGATATCCATTCTTCATGGAGGATCATTCAGTCAGCTACAGTTCTCGCTAACTCCAAATAGGACCTTTCATGTATTTTTCCATGTTAACCAAGGACTAAAGGGTAATGAGGTTTTCTAATGCCTGGTTGAAATACAAATGTACTAGCAGATTTGCCAATGAAAGCAAAGATATAAAGTAGTTTTGATAAAACTTATTCTCGCTCAGTGAACCTGTGCTGGTATATCACTACTTCCTTTTCTAAGTTGTTTAATAGTCTGTTTGAGTTTTTACCTTCCCAAGCTTTGACAATGAATTTACTTCTTTGCAGCTTTCAGAATTGGCTTTCTCTGCCATTTTTGAAGACGAAGACAGCTGCCTGCCTTCTGTCTTCGGGTATCTTTGTTCTCTGGATTCCTGAATGTAACCCAAAACAATTAATGTGATCACGTGTTTGATGTAGGAAGTGAAATAATTTCCCTAAGCGTAGAGACTTGGAGACTCAACACTATTTTGCTTGGGACTTCTCTGTTCTGTTCAACTTCAAATGGTTAAAGGTGAACAAGCATGATGCAGAAGACAGTGAAATTCAGGATTTTGTGTTGGTGAAACCTGTTGTGCTAGATATGAGTAGAAAAGACAGAGACAACAGAAGAGTTTAGTAGTCCTGAATCTTTTGTCCCCTCTGATCATGTATTATCTGTTCCAAGCTTGGTAGTCCCATATCTTCAGTGTTTTTCTTGCTCTGCAAATATTTAGAAAAGCCTGCTTTCTTGTTTGTTGCATTCTGGGGGCAAATCTTAGCTCCGTTCTGAGTTTCATCCTCCTAGTGCTATTGCTCTGTTTTTGAACTTGCCTTTGGTTAATTGCCTTTCTTGCACCTTTTAGATTCAGCTTTCTCAGTTCCTAGATTTGATACAGTTTGCAGAGTTTAGGGATATCTTTTTTTTTTTTTTTTGAGATGGTGTCTTGCTGCAGCTCCTGGGCTGGAATGCAATGGTGCAATCTCAGATCACTACAACCTCTACTTCCTGGGTTCAAGCAATTCTCCTGCCTCAGCCTCCTGGGTAGCTGGGACTACAGGTGTGGCTAATTTTTGTATTTTTAGTACCAACGGGGTTTCAACATGTTGGCCAGGTTGGTGTTGAACTCCTTACCTCAAGTGATCCGTTCACCCCAGCCTCCCAAAGTGCTGGGATTACAGGCATGAGCCACTGTGCCTGGCCTAAAGTTTGGGGCTATCTCGAGGGCTTCCGAGTATACCTGAAGCAGGAACATTTCTAATCTGTCCTTCAGATGGACAAAATGTTTTGTGTATTCACATCATACTGGTCTGCAGCCCCAATTGCCACCATTTCCACTTGCCTGATCTGTAGGCCTGCAGACACCCACCTGTGAAGTGTGTGAGGACAATGACGTAGTTCTCCACTTCACCCATTGGCGCCTTCCACTGCAGCAGGGCTTCTGTTGGAGTGATGTTGGTAGCAATCAGATCCACAGGGTTGTCCATGGCTGAAACAGAATCAATTATCAGTTAAAGGTCAGAGCAGCTGCCTAGTGGAAGTGCAGGGAATGATCTCAGAAGTTCCACTCATGGTGCACGACTGCTGCTGCACTTTTCAAAATAATGAAGTGAGCAAAAACCTCTTCCCTTTCTCCTCTTCTGGTTCCATCAGCCTCTTCCATTTCTTCCTTCCTCCCGCCTCTCAAGTATCCAATTCTCCCCCAACTGCCCCCAGCTCTTCCTTTTAAATAATTCATTAACTTCTTACGTGCACAGTATTGTGCCAGGTACTACAAAGGACTTCAAGGTATGGCTGGAATGGGTTTTCAACATTTGAATCTAGATGTAGCAACCAAGAACACATGGCAGTTGTTAAAATTTTATAGTTAATGAGATAATCACACTTCCCAGGATTTGCACTTTTATAAATGCTAGGATGTGCCTCGTGGAAAGATCTCTGTTGATGAGCTTCAGGACGTGTGGTGGGAACTCCATAGGGTCAGGAGTATCCCTAGGACAGAGAATATAGAAGGTACATCCATGGAATGTCTACGTGGGGTCAGTCAGGTTGCCTCAAAAGTCAAATCTGATTATTGGATGATTGTTTCACTGCTCACAAGTCTCATTCAGAACTGAGTCCTGGGTATTCTTTTTGTTGCATTAGGAGTCAAGAGGATTCTTCCAGGCTTAGGGAGGTCAAGAGGGCCTGTTGGGGGAACAGAGTGTGTGCTTGTCATAGGATCATCTTTCTAGTCTTACTTGCCCATGCTTTAAGCCTTTGCCTTATTACTGTGCTTCTGTTCCATCAGGTTAGAATTTATTACAAGTGGATTTTTTTGTGTATTTTTCTTTTTTTTTTTTTTTGAGACAGAGTCTTGCTCTTTCGTGCAGTGGTGTGATCTCGGCTCACTGCAACCTCTGCCTCCCGGGTTCAAGCAATTCTCCTACCTCAGCCTCCCAAGTAGCTGGGACTACAGGCATGTGCCACCATGCCCAGCTAATTTTTCTATTTTTTTAGTAGAGGTGGGGTTTCACCATGTTGGCCAGGATGGTCTCGATCTCTTGACCTCATGATCCACCCGCCTCGGCCTCCCAAAGTGCTGGGATTACAGGCGTGAGCCACCGCGCCCAGCCACAAGTGAATGTTATTAAAACAGTTCGGGTATCAGCTCAACCTAAGCATCATGCAATTTACTTTTGAGAACTAAGACCTGCTGTTGATCTGGCCCTATTCTCTAATTGAAAGTGTTTTTTCACTTGCCTATGTCCTTTATGACAAAGAAACAACCAGGAAAATATTTTCCTAATGTTAAAATGTGGATTGTGTCCATAATCTATGTGTTCAAAGAGTTTTTCAAATGTAGCCCTGATGACACTATACTTGGCTTGATCTCTCTGAGACATGCATGATGCCATGAGACAACCGTGACACCCTGCAGCAGTACTCACTTCTGAAAGTTGTAAGATCATAGATCTCAAGGTAGAAGAACAGCAAACAAGCAACAGCAAAATAAGACATTCTGGGCAATCTAGTTATTGGAAGGTGGCAAAATAGTTCTGCCTAGACTTGAGGGATGGCAGTTTGGATAAGCACACCATTTGAGTTGCTGATCCAAATATCTGCTTTAGAGATACTAGCCGCTCATGACCAAGAATCCAAGGAATTTTTTTTCTTCTGAGAGACAAGGTCTTGCTCTGTCACTTAGGTTGCTGTGCAGTGTCATGATCGTGGCTCACTCCAGCCTTGGACTCCTGGGTTCAAGTGATCCTCCTGCCTCAGCCTCCCTAGTAGCTGAGACTCCATGCCCTGCTAAAGAAATGAGTTTTTGACTAAATTTGCTGCTCTCTTTTATCTTGGGGTGAGAAGGGTCTTGAAATACACTTTATTGTCCTCAATGGGAAAAAGGCTAATTTCTTTAATATGAATTTCTAGGTTCAGAAAGGTGGGATGGAGGCTTCTTTTTGTTTGGACTCCACTTCTGGTCAACACTTGTTGATATTTTAGTGGTCACAGGTAATTTAATAGACGGAGCAGGACTGAATGGCTGAGTTATCTGTACTTATAAGCCTGGAAGGAGACTAGGGAAGACAAGAATATCCAGCGCTGTCTTTAGAAGGATAATTTTTGTGTTTTTGAAGGAATGTTTCTTGACCCATTGCTTTAGAGATGCTATTTCTGAGCTTCTAAGGACATCTACTTAAGCACTGAGGAATTCCAAAGTATATTTTCCTCCTTTGAAAAATACCGTTCTCCAGGGAAATTAAGCAACTGTAGAAAATCCAGGTATTCTCCTGATAAAGCAAGCTGGATGTTTTCCCATGTGCTGTGGAATGATGGCTTAACTAGGAGGTTTGGTCTAGGGTTTGGGAACAGAAAACTTTGGCTGTGCCTGCTAGTGAGTTCTACAGAAAATCTTTGGAAGTTCTGCATGGTATACTTGCTGAGGGGCCAGAGGCAGAGGATCAGTGGCGCTACCAAAAGAGCCTTCTCCTCAGGCTCATCGCATGGGCTTGTTTTCAAGAGGGAGGCCATGGGATTTGGACTACCCTTCCCCACTTTCCTGTATCGCAAGCCAGCCTCTCCCTTGCACCTCCCTTCCTCTAGTCATTATGCAAGAGCTGATGGAGCATGCAGAAGACGTCTGGATCTGACTGGGGGCCCTGTCAGAGACATGAGTGACACGGTGCTCCTACAGGCAGCCCAGGATGTCCATGGAGCCACATCACCTCCACTGCTTTCATCCAGGGTGAAGGAGTTATGGCCACTTTGGTGCCTTCTTTCTCCCTGGAGCACAAAGCAAGAGCAAATGCAGCTTCTTGGTGGTTTCTGGCCATATCTGATGATGAATTTCATGACCCCAATTTCGTTACTGGAATAATGACCCTTTTCTTCTTTGAGATGAAATTTCCTTATCCGAGTCTTTTACAAAATCAGATGAATGATTCAGTTGTCTGTTTTAGATTTCACTTCCACCACATGTCTTTGAAAGGGCACTATTTATGTTGGAAGTTTCATGAACATGCCTAACCTAAACCAGCAAGACTTCTAGAGGGTGACTTTCTAAATGTTTAGTATTAGCGAGGAATATCAGGGGGAGAGAAATTGCAAATTGCCCTGCACAACACAGTAAGTGGGAAGAGCACCCTGAAATGGAGCCTCACTGTTCAGAACCTTCGTATGAGCCCTAACAACTTCACCTAGGTCCTCAGCCAGGGTCCTGACTTGACACAGCATGGAGACACGCGTACCTGTGTGCACCAGAGTGCAGATGCGCTCACTTTCCTCCCTGCCCCGCACGCTGTTGAGGCTGATTTCGTATTCGGTAGCTGGGTACAGTCTGGTGATGGTGAATTCTGTCACAGTGTTGGGCACCACTGAGCTGTCTAGTCGTCCCACTGGAGAAGAGCAGAATCTATAGTTAAAGTTCAGCAGCCCTCTCATTCAAGCAGCCCCTGGAACAGTCTATGTTAATGAAGCACAGATGGGTGTGGGCTTAGCACTTAGTGGGGAGGGACGATAAATGGTTCATGGACTGGAATGCTGGAGTGTGAAGAGGCCTTGCACACTGGTCTTACTCCTTTACTTTCTGGGCTCCTTGGAGCAAAGAAAAATGAGCTACCTATTAAGTGGTTTCCTAACAAGCTGGTTTTCTCTAAGGCAGTGTAGAGGGCACTGATGCAAGGAGCAGTCCACACAGTCTAGAGACAGTGTAGCCTGGAGAACTGTCTGTGTCCTCACTGGAAGTGAGTGTGCCTTCTACTTCCTTAACAATGCCACATGTACCAGCAAGAACTGGCAGGATGCAGGTGAGGTCTGGGCCAATTTCCTCTGACTCATAACTTGGCTGGAGTGGCTGAAATGGGACCACATCACTGTAATTCCCTCCAAGGCTCCATCTGGCTTTGCTGGGTCTTTAGCCATCCCTCTGGATCCTGATCTTAAACTTCATTCTCATAGGAAAGTTCATGTGACCCTTGCTCTTGGCAGATTCTTCTAGGGCCCTTTGTTTCTCATGACACTGCCTAGATAATGGTGACCAGTTAACTCTGCTAGTGAAAGGCCTGCTTTCTGGATGAATATAATCAAGCCTTTCTCAAGAGGCATTGGTGAGTGCAAGGTTTCTTGGCTGCTCACCAGCCCACTCTCCTTCCGATGGAGCATGCCACAGAGAGGAGGAAAAATGCAGGCAGGAGTGGATGTTCTGTGGGATATGCTAGTTCTCCCATAATCTTCACCCAAATCCTAGTATCTTTGAGAAATCAAATAACTTTGTTACCTTGGGTGGGTCGATATGATACTCGGTAGTAATCAAAAGATGCAACAGGAGGGCTCCAGGAGACCATCACTGAGTCCTTGGTCACATTGCTAATTGTGATATCTTTGGGGGGATCAATTCCTACAAGGACCCAGTGGTTGTGGGAAAAAGACAGAAAGTACAGTGTGAAAAAGAAATTCTCATCCCTGGTTTTATGTTGATCAAAAGCCAATGTTGTCCCAAAGGCAGACAAGATCTTTCTGTGTAATAAAATATCCTTAAAACCATGGTCAGGCTCATCTTTCACTTGCAACCTTGTAGGTATGGCCAAGGCTAAGTTAATGGAGAACATTTTAACAACAAGAAGTCAAGTTGGCAAGCTCTGTACCTGTTACCTATCTCCAGGCCAACGAGGAACTTTTTTTTTTTTTAAAGTTCATATGTTTTGTTTTGAACTGGGAGAAATACAGACATTTTCTCTCAGTTAGCTTTTTAAAGACAAACCCAATTTTGCCTGTATCTCTTATTTTTAGCAGCCACCTTTGGTTTTAGTTTTGAAGACTGTCTATTGACTGTATAGGGATTTCAGAGCCCAAGTCCAGAACAAATCCATTTTCCTAAATTGTTTTTCATTTATGCCATGGATTTTTTTTTGACTGCTAGGGGATCACAGAGTTGATCAATTGAGTGTTTAATCTTCTTGTCCAATTTGTGAGTAGGAAACAACCCAAACATACATGCCTTCACCCACATGTACCTCATATTTGAAAGTAACTATATTTGGGAAGAATAAGCTAGGACTGGTCCAATTCATCTCAGAGTGCCTGTGTTTTCTAAGCAAAATACGAATCAATCCCATTCTCTGAATGCCAGGTCACTACCTGATTGCATGCTAGTTCCATGTGAGACTAAGGAAGCATCACTTGTACCAGTGACCTTTCTGGGCAGTCAAGAGATGGCTTTCCAGAATAGAAACAGGTGTCTCTGCACTGTAGAGGGATTCCTCTTGGAGACTAGCTTTCTTCAGTGTTTTTTTCTCTAGGCTGGTAATGGGAGGTCTTTTGGACAAATGCAGTCAAGCTTTGACCTCCTCAAGACATTGACTTCGTCCCACCTTCCAAATGGGAGCTTCTCATCTAATGCATCTTCTGTAGCACTAGAGGGAGTAGCTGTTTCAGAACACCTCATGGACTTTCTTTAGCCATAGAAGCAGTCCCCTACTCCTTGGGTCTTTCTCTTTTAAAATTTCATCGATGTGTCAAAGGCTACTGTGAGAACCCCTTTCATCACCTGCTGCCAAGTCCTCCAGCCTCACCTGTGGTGATGGAGCCCACAATGGGCTCAGATGTCACTGTGCCATGGACAGCCACAAGGTTCACAATATACTCTGTGGCTGGTTGCAGGCCCATCAGGACAGCATGCCTCTTGGTGGCATCCAGGGAGACCTCTGTCATCTCTTCCTCCTCATCCCTGGGGCTGTAGTTCAGAATGAGTCTGTCTGCTGGGGGAGATGGGTCACTCCAAGTGATGTTCACACTGGAGGAGGTCACGTGAGAAAAGTGCAGATGAGATATGGGACGGAAGCCTGCAAAGAGAGGAGATGGATGAAACATGTGAGGAGACGGGCCACTGGGCTAGAAGAACTTCTGGGATAAAGGGATCTGCTCTCCTTGCTAATAAGGGCTACACGTTCACCCACTGACCCAGAGATTCCACCTCCTCACTCTCCAGTCCTTTTCACTCTACTTTTTCCAATCCAAATATGAGAAAATGGATTCTGTTAAAATCAGAAATACCTCTGTGAGTTAATCATAATACTGACCCAGGATTGAAAGCCTATACCCTGGAAGGAATTTAATATGATCCCACAGATCCTCTGAATTCCCACTGATTTACTGCAGCAGGGAAAGATGGACAGAATGAAGTATGTCAAGGCCATAGAGCAACCCGACAGTTTTAGGCAGGTAGCGCTGTTGCTCACCTCTCCGCTTTACTTCCAAACCTTCCCTCTTGATGCACTTCTTGGTTTTGCCTCTATACTTTTCTACCCATCTCTTTTCTCCAAAGGAAATGGAACATTGGAAGAGTGAGTTACCTGGATGAATTTCTCACACTAAGATCCACTGATCCCTGAACCTAGCTGGGATTTCTGCTGCCCTGGTACCTGTGAAAGCATCCACAGTGGACTCCAAGCTCTGCTGCCGACCCCTCTCAGCAGTGATGGAAATGATGTACTCTGCCCCAGGCTCTAGATCTGTCAGTGTGTACGAGGTCCTGTCCTTGGGTACAGTGACTTCTGAGGCGATCCCAGAGGATGGGGTAAAGGTAATTCGGTAGTGGTCAATGGGGCCAATGGCCTTGGTCCAGATGAGGGAGATGGAGGTCTCCGAGGAGGCTGTCACCATGAGGTCTCGGGGACTGTCAAGTTCTGTGGATTGAAATAAATGGCCTATTTTACACAGGTTCCAGAGGAGGGCAGTATTTATTGGCCTGCCCTGCGTGTTTCCAAGCTATCAGCAGGCCTGCTGACTGTGAACACTGGTTTGTCATTGATGACACTTACCTCACGTTTTACTAAGCACCTTCTCTCTGAATGATGGCCAGAGGCTTGGCAAACAGACAAACAATCTGCAGAAAGGCATTGTGAGCTCTGATACCACTGGATTGCATCCACCTCTGGGACAGAGCTGACTGCTGATTTTCAAGCTCTCCATATTCATTTTCTTCCATCCTTTCTCAATAAACCAATAAGGACAAAATGGTAGCCACCACCCAGTAGGGATATGCCCTTCTTGGCAATAGTAGCCTCCAACCCTGAGGCTATTTTGACTTGTTCTAACCAGATCTAGCAGGCCTAGATCTGGTTAGAACATATCTAGCTCTGAGATCTAGCATATCTAGATCTGAGGACCTGGAGACCTTTGTCCATGTGGTTCTCTAGAGAGGTTGGTCTAAAATCCCTAGCCCAGCCCAGACTACTAGTACCATAGCTACTGAAATGACTTTGAAATTTATCCAGGATTTAGAAGCAAAACTGCTGAATCTAGAGCAGCAAGGGTCTCAACTGGACTTTTCTTCTGCCCTCAGATTTAATGGGTTGTTGCAAGTCTAGGTCTTCACTCAAGTGGCCTTTGTGAGGGCCTCTATGGTACATACAGGGTGAAGGATGCCCCATATTCTGCCTGCTGTTGGGGTAGTCTAGATAAAAACATGGCCTGCAATGGCATCAACCTATTTAGGCTTTTTCATGTCTGCTCTGTACAACTCTGAGCAGCTCTTCAGACTCTGGCAGGGGTCGGGGGGTGGCGAGCATAGGTCTGTGGGGAAGAGGGTGACTCCATCCTGCAGGTCAGAGGTCAGAGGTTAGGTATAGGGTGGATGTTGTATTTAGGCTGACAGTTGTCACCAGAGACCCGTTCACTGGGAGACATTGCTTTCTGACTAATTTTTGCCGGGATAAGCCTCCATGACTTCTTAGGTTTATAGGCTAACCTGGTTTTCTTCCTCAGCAGTCCTCCTACTCACCAGTCCTGGCATTCATGGTGGCTGGCACACTTTGCTGTGAGTTCATGATGGCAGATATTCCAACTCCATATTCAGTGCCAGGTACCAGATCTATCAGTGAGTAGAGAAACAAACATTATTCTGTGTATGGGGCAGGACAAGGAAGGCTGAAAGCAGGGAACAAAATGATCTTAGATGCCTGTTCATACCTTGTGTTTAGTCCTCCTTGAATACTCTCCTAATTTCAACTATTAGGAAATCCCAATTTCACTACTTAGGAATCCCAAACAGGATGAATCAGCCCATGCGTAGCTTCCTTCTTGCAGCCAGGCTCTCTGGGAAGCCACTGAGGCTGCCTTGTCAGTGACCTTCAGAGGTGTGCTCACCGAAGGATACAAGGACTCCTTGTATGCTTAGTGTCTCAGGTTGGCTTGAACCAGTGAGGGAAATCTCTTGCTTGAATTGTGAATTTCGGAAATATGTAATCAAGAGAGACAGTGTGGACAGGGGCCTGTAAAGCATTTCTTGAATGTTATATACAAAGACCAAGCTACACCTTTTATAGGAGTCGAGGCCATATGGGACTCCTAGGTCCCTTCAAGGGAGCAAGAGTAGATGGACTTTTTTTCTAAGCACAGGGCTGTCAAATAGGGCATGCAGAAGCTCCGTTGCTGTGGGCTCCTTGCCAAGTTCAGTAATTCAGGCCTCAGAATATCTAAAGCTGTGCATCTAATTTTAGAATAACTTCCAGGGGAGTCGAGGAAGACAGAGGAAATGCAAAAACCATCCCACTAAAGGGTATAAGCTTCTCTGAGGAAATCTTTTGGGGGGTTTCTACAAAGGATCCCTGAAAGGCTTCTAGAATATCTGAATCTCTGGGTTCTCTCCCTGTCCTCCTTCACATTCATTTTCAGACTAACTGGTTTGACTGGTGTAGTAGTTTCCCATTGCTGCTGTAACACATCACCACAATTTAGTGATTTACAACAACAAAAATGGATTCTCTTACAGTTAGTTCAGGTGGTCTGCAATCTAAAGTAGTTCAGCAGGGCTGTGTTCTTTCCGGAGGCTCTAGGGGAAAATCCACTTCCATGCCTTTTCTAGCTTCTAGACGCTGCCTCCATTCTTTGGTTCATGGTCTCATTATCTTCCAAGCCAGCAGTTTCGAATGATCAGATCTGTTCTCTCTCTGACCTCTGCTCCTGTCATCGCATCTACTCTGACTCTGACCTCCCTACATTCATCTTATGAAAGTCCTTATGATCACTTTGGACCCACCTGGATAGTACAGGCTACTCTCTCCTTCTCAAGATATTTAATTTAATCACACCTACAAAGTCCTTTTTGCCTCATAAGGTGGTTATATTCATAGGTGCTTGGGATTCTTTGAGGGCTATTTCATCTGATACAACTGGTGTCAAACTCATCTTTATCTATTAGGACTGGGATTGTAGAAAAACCCAAAAAAGGCCAGGTGTGGTGGCTCACACCTGCAATGCCAGCACTTTGGGAGGCCAAGGTGGGTGGATCACCTGAGGTAGGAGTTTGAGACCAGCCTGATCAATATGGTGAAACCCCATCTCTACTAAAAATATAAAAATTAGCCAGGTGTGGTGGTACACTCCTGTAGTCCCAGTTACTTGGGAGGCTGAGGCAGGAGAATCACTTGAACTTGGGAGGCAGAGGTTGCAGTGAGCTGAGCTCGTGCCACTGTACTCCAGCCTGGGTGACAGAGAGAGACTCTGTCTTAAAAAAAACCAAAAAACAAAAAAAACAAAACCAACAAAATCAAGTGATCACCCGGGGGCCTCTAATGGTCAGTCCGAGTCCTTCTAGTAGGCTCTTTGTGGGGCTTTGCAGGGACTCATGGCTGATTGCTGTGCTATTCTGTGTTTATATAATATCTGTGCTTTTCAAAATGGAATGTGCTTTGAAGTGTCATCACAACCTTGAGAGGAAGGTGGGATAAGCAGTCTTTTCTCCATCTGCATTAGCTTCCTGTGGCTGCTGTTACAAATTACCACACAGGGTGTGGCTTAAAACAACAGAATTGTGTCCTCCTACAGTTCTGAGGTCTAGAAGTCTGAAATCAAGGTGTTGCCAGGACCATGCTTCCTCTGAAGGCTCTGGGGGGCCTAGGCTCTGGTGGTTGCCAGCAGTCCCTGGCATTCCTTGGCTTGTAGCTGCGTCACTCCAGACTCTGCCTCTGTAGACACGTGGCCCTTCCCTATGTGTCTGTGTCTTCCCCTCTTATAAACATACCAGTCACATTGAATTTACGGACCACCCTAATCCAGTATGACCTCATCTTAACTGTACTGTATCTGTAAATACCTTATTTCCAAATAAGGTCACACTCACAAGTTTGGGGTGGACATGCATTTTGAGGGGACTGTTATTCAACACAATACATCATCTTTTTATAAAAAGAAACTGTGGCACAGAGTCGGTCTGTGACCAGCTAGAGATGCCCCCTGGATTTTGGTCTGAGTTCAGGGCTTTTAGGAGGAATGGGATGTCCTATTACTTCCTTCCATCTCACTGGCTCCTCAGGGCAGCTGTGATTTCTCTAGAATTTTGATGGGAAATACTTTTTTTCCCCCTGATTTTGATGGGAAATACTTTGAGCAACAGTTCTTTAACAAATGGCTTGGCTTGGCCGAGAGGAACGCTGCCTGGCAGCCAGGCGTTCTTCATCCCCTTCCTCAGTGGGCTTTAGGGCAGCCCATGCAATAAATATTGCTGAAGCATGGCAGAGCTTACCAGGCCAGTTCCCCCAAGGAATGTAGTCCTTAAGCCCTGTCTGGGCAGGCATCAGAATCAGCCCTCTTTTTCTTTTCTTAAACCAGCTTCTTTCTTTCCCAACCCTTAATTCTTTCTTTCTCTAAAGTGGCAACACCAGTGGAGGTAAACTTTGAAGTTAGAGAGCCTTTGAAGTCTGACATATTTATGTTTATATTCAGTCTCTTCTACCTTCTACCTACGTAATTTTGATTACTTAACATCTTTGAGCCTCAGTTTCTGAAGAATGAGAATAATAACAGCATCTATATCTGAGGGTCATTATGAAGATTACATGAATCAAAGTGTTTAAAGTCCACTAAAATTCAAAGCCTGGGTCTTAGTGGTGGTAGCTAATATTTTACTATTTTGCACAGAGAACTACTCCTGGATTTTGAGTACGTGCGTGTGTGTGTGTGTGTGTGTGTGTGTGTGTGTGTGTTCTCATCTACTATAAAAACTGCCTCAGGCAAGTAAAGGCTGGTCATGGGTACATCTGTTGTTGGTTTGCTGGAGCGTACCCTGTTGGCTGTGTTGGAAACCAGTGACACAGGGAGTCCAGGTGGCAGTGAGGACCTTGCCCTGGCTGGGCCAAGTACCTGTCTCTAGATTGAGTGGGCAATTGCAACACCCCCAGATCCCTTTGAAGCACACATTTATCTCTGTCAATATGCTCAGTGAGTCCCAGGTACATCCTTGGTTGCAGAAATGAGATTCCCTTTGGGACATAAACTACTTTTCTCAGGGAACTGATTGAGACCTTCAATTGCCTATAATGAAGTAGAAATTCTCCAGCATAGATGAAGGGTGACAGACCGAGGGAGGAAGAAATTATGCATTGCCAAACAGATCTAACATGTAACACTTTCATCCCAGTTTCTTATTTATGAAGCTTAAATGAAATGTTCAATAATTTACAATGGAATCATCTTCTCCCAGAAAACTGCAGAGCAGAATTTAAAACACTCTCTTCCCAGGTTTTCTGTCTAGAGGATGGAAAAGTGGGACTCGCCTATAGGTTTGCGCCTGCTGCTTTACTTTGATTTTCAGCAGCTTTCTTCCATGGTACAAGTGAATTGTTGCTCTTTGCCAGCAGGTAAAATACAGTTCTGCTGGAAAAGAAAAACATGTATCGGAGGCATAGCTAGTGCGCTTATATATCAGCGCTCTGAGTACTCCTAGGGATTTCTCACTTTTTCAAGACCCCATTGCTCTCTATCAATGCCCCCTTTATCTCTCCATCCAATTCCTGCAAGTGGTAACATATAAATGACTCTGTTCCCTTTTTTAACAATAGCACAGAAAATTCATCCCATAGGAAATCACTGCTTTCCATTCCTTATAGAACTTTCTTTGTTCAGCTTGGAGGTTGATGCTTTTCTCAACTTTTTCACCTCACACCCATTCTTCTTGGAACCCCTAAAGCATAGTCATCCACTCAGCAAATATTATTAAGGGCCTCCTTTGTGTCAGGCACAAGGCTATGCGAGCTGAACAAGACATTAGCCTTGCCTTTTTGGGGATGAAAAGGAATCTGTTCTAAAAAAGTAAATTAATTATTTAGTGAGCACCCATAATATGCCAAGCACTAAGCTACATGGAAAAGAATAATGACGAAGGGGAAGGAAGGAAAAGAGGGGTAAAAAATGAAGAATTTCTGTGTGTCTGATGGCAAAGAGTTATGCAGTTATATATAACTGAGCTTCTTAAAGACTCACGCATGTGGTTTAATTTCCCTGCAGCGCTACCGATAGGGTGTTGCAGCTGAGCAAACAGAGGCTCTGAGAAGTCTATTCCTTGGTCAAGGTCACAAAACTAATACATGATAAAACTAAGTTTGGGATCCAAATCCCCTGTTCTTTCCAACACATCATAGCATGGTTCCCATCCCTGAGTCTTACAGGCCAGGAGGAGAGTGAAGTAAGCAAACTGGAATTCGAGAGTGATTTGGCACCTGTTATAATTTGGATGCTTGTCCTCTCCAAATTTCATGTTGCCTTATCATCCCCAGCGTTGGCGTGGGGCCCAGTGGGAAGTGCTTGGGTCATGGGGGCGGATCTCTCATGAATGGCTTGGTGCTGTCCTCAAGATAGTGAGTGACTTCTCGTCAGATCTGGTTGTTTAAATGTGTGTGGCACCTCCCCCTAACCTTGCTCCCTCTCTCATTGTGTGATGTGCTGGCTCCCCCTCTGGCTTCCCCCATGGTTGTAAACTTTCTGAGGCCCTCACCAGAAGCAGATGCTGGTGCCATGTGTCCTATACACCCTGCATAACTGTAAGCCAGCCAAACCTCCTTTCTTTATAAATTACCCAGCCTCCGGTATTCCTTT